CTCTGTTGTTTACTCTCGGGTAAATAGGCGACGAGCACATACAGCCGTGTACATAGAAAATGTTTTCATACTCATTTGCATGCATTCAACTTGCGTACGGCGCTTATACACGGTGTTTATAGTGTCGCCGGGTCTAGACGCGAATCTTTCTGAATAGCATTTTCTTATCTTCGTTTTCCTTTTTGGAAACCCGTGGGTGCGTGCCGCACATGATTTATGGCTGTTTGTCCGTGCCGCGAATTAAAAATAAAGATAAACTCGCGACGGCGGTCGGTATTCGAGACTCGGAATTTCTATGGCGGTAATTATGTCCATTGTCTTCCGGATAAAAGGAAACGTCCAATCAAGTTATTATTCGTGGGTTTTAAAAAATATTTACATTTAAATAAAATGAAAACTACGAAAGACAATCGAAATAATATCGTTTGAATGACCACCGCGATTGCGTTTCGGTGGAGTGAATAATATAGTTTGGAAACGTTTACAAATATTCCATAAATATTCTACGATATTGCTTTCATTCTCAGTCGTCGCGAGGAAGCTAAACGTGACACGATCTAAGATAGCTGTCGTCTATTACGAGTGACTTTCGTTCGATCTTAAAAGAGAACGCAACTCGCAGCTTCGAATCAAACTCGTCCGTGGACCTGTCAGTCTTTCGCGTTCGTAATATGTATTTACTGTCCTTGCACCTGTCTACTTTAAGACCGTCACACGTCTTCCCACCAGCTCGAAGCGGCTTAAGAGGGAAACTAGCGAGTTGTATAGTTTTTTTTTTTAAAAGAACGATCGATAAATACGATATCTGGTAAAGTGATATCCCATGGTAGCACGCTGGACGATCAGCAATCGAGCATGAAATACTACAAATGCATACACGCCGCGGAACTGGATGAAAATTAATCATTGATACCACCAAGCGCGTCGAATAATCGAATTAAATCAATTAATGAATTTTCGTTCGTATTCTGGCTATCCCTAAAGTCGCTGAGACTATTATGCTTATTATTAGAAACTCAGGAGAGAGTTAATCCTTCAAATAACGTGATACAAAATATACTTTTGAATTTGGCGCGAACAAACATAAAACTGCGATTTATCGATTATTATTCTCGACCACACTTCTCAGCGCCACCTGTCCCCTAATATATTGACTATGTATTGTCCCGCGTACATTAAAATACCCACAAAGATAAAAATACGTACATTTCTTGAATATTTGTTATTACTAATGGAAAGAAGAAAACATACGAAATCGATATGCTAAAATAAGATAAAGTTCGGTAATTGGAGCAATATATTAGATACGTTAGAATAAGCACAACTAAATGAGATTAGAGAAATATACTTTAAAAGATTATACTTTATTGTACATGTATAAAATTTAGTTTCTAACTCAGGTGTGTTAAAACATAGTAATTGTGCGAAACCATAAAATTTCTCGTCAATTAAACTTATCATTTACTGTTTATTAAAGTGGGTATAGAATGAGTTTATGGGATATTTGAAGCTGTGTTAAAATATAGTAGTTGTTAGGGCTGTAATATTATTCGTTAATTAAACCTACCACTTAATGTACGTATAAATTTGTATTATGTAGCTACTGTGTACTTATTTGCACATAATTGTAATTTATATAAGCATTTTGCAACTATTCAATATGGACGTAAACATCAGATTTTACAAAATACTTAAAATTTTTTCTAAGTACCGTTGTTTTCTAATGTTTATTTCTTTATACTCTATTTGTCATGCTTAATCTTACTTGTGCCAAAATTAAATTATGATTGTATATTTAGTCGTTTGATAAAGCAAGCGTTTATCAAGTATTTCTAAAAATATAGAAGCGATAATTCATTTCAAACTGTTATCGAGTCAACGTTGCAATCAGCCTAATTTTCTAAACAGAAAACCTGTTATTTTCCTTGGAGATAACGTTCACTTTAACCAAGAAATTTGTAAGACTATCCAAAATTGATATGTATTAACACTAAACATTCCAGTATATTATAATCAACGTTGTCTTGTGTACAAAAATCAGTTTCATACACATCAGATTATGACATTATCAAGAAACAACTTGTTTTCTCTCTTATTTTCTACCGATAACATCGACAGTATCGAAAATCTTTCTTGGCTTATTGTCAAGCTTTAATAACGATTTATTATATTCAAATTTGACAGTCGGAAATATATAAAAAAATGTTATTATTCTTTTGCGTATATTTTTATCACATAACACGTAATATTTTGTAACTCGTGGCTCAACGAATTTTATTTCGATTTAAGTATGTCAATAATTTTCCACGCTTGTTATCTTCGATGTATTCTCAAATGTGTAAACAAATTTTTACGCGGGAAGACCTACGTAACGATTGGAAATAGAATCTGATAAACGATAAATGCTCGATGGGCTACGTGTTTACGTTTTATTCCAAATTTAAGAAGACGTTCTGGATATTATTTTTTATTACTATTATTGCATGAGTCAAACCCCATCCAACGCCCACGCACCAAACATAGAAATAGAAAACTATTATCGAATATATTTATGATCAACGACTGAATAAATGATATCATTACACCTAAAGACCTGATGGATGACAGGCTTGTAAAGAATCTCGAAGCTATAAGAGCATAATACCCACGCAATCACATATTAATACCAAACGGATATAAATAATACATGAAAATAAACACAGTTTATTTGCAGAAATTCTCCAGCTTGAATAAATACACGCGTAGATGAACATACGCAGAGATAGCCATGTTAGATTGCAGGAATCATTCGCATTTCTAACCCCTTAACCGGTACGATCGAGATAAAGCAACAAAGGGTAAAAACAGAAGGAGAAATATAAATTTTAAATAAGGAAATAAGGATTGCTGAAAGATATATGCAAAATCATGCATCGTGCAGAAGTGTATAAAACATATACAGGGTGAGGCATTTTAAACAGGTCACCTGAATAACTCGCTTGTTTTTGAAGATAGGAGAAAATGCATTAGACCAAACTTATTTGGTATCGGGGGGCTCATAATCTGGTATTACCAATTTTTTTGTAGGTGGAGGCGTCAAGGAGATATGAAGGTCAACTTTGTTTTTTTAAATGGAACAGTATATTTTATTACTTACATTCTGATAGAGTGTTTCAAGGCGAATACAATGACCTATTATTAAGGTCATTCAAGGTCACCCAAAGTCAACTGCAATAGAAAATAAATTGTGTCAAAGCACTCTTCGAACACTTGGATACTTTGATACTGCTATTACAAGTGTTCAAAATGGCGACCTTGAACATGGATACATAGTCTAAATCGTTGCAATACTGATGACACTGCCTGGCAAATTTCATTTGTATCTATTACAGAGCAAGCTCTTCTTATACGTTCTTGCATGTCAAGTTTGGTAGTTGGTTTTTCGCGGTACACTTCTGCCTTTAATTTTCCCCACAAATAAAAATCGAGAGGTGTCAGGTCTGGGGATCGTGCCGGCCATTTGTTACTTCCTGATCGACCTACCCAAGAATCTCCAAATTTTCTATTTAGAAATTCTGTAACATTGCGTGCTGAATGAGCAGGGCATCCGTCTTGCTGGAACCACATGGATTGTCGTATGTCCAGTGAAGTGTCTTCTAACAATTCTGGCAAAACGTCTTCTAAGATTCTCAGGTACTTACTACTATTTAGCGTGCCATCAATAAAATATGGACCAATTATTTTATTATGAAGAAGACCGCACCAGACGTTTACAGACCAAGGTCTCTGTTTGTCGACTTCTCTCAACCATCGTGGATTATCTACCGACCAGTAGTGCATGTTGTGACGGTTAATTGCTCCATGGTTTGTAAATGTGGCCTCATCGGTAAATAACAATTTACTCAAGAACATTTCATCGTCTTGTAGTTTTTGTAAGCCCCATTCACAAAATTGTAAACGTTTTGTATAATCATTTTCAGTTAATTGTTGATGAAGTGATATGTGGAACGGATGAAATTTGTTAATGTGTAATATTCGTAAAATACTTCGTTGACTGATGCCACTTTCGCGTTCCAGTTGTCTTGTACTAACATGTGGATCTTGTATTACAGCTGCTACAATATTTATCGAGTTTCCATCATCAGTTGCTCGTTTGGCAAGATTACGTGTTTTGTTATCCACAGTTCCAGTTTCTTGGAACTTTTTTATAATGTTTGTAAAGACAGAAAGTGAAGGTCTATTATTACGATCGGGAAATCTTTCACTATACACACGTACCGCTTCCCTCATAATTCTATGACATTCACCATAAATAAGAACCATTTCTACTTTCTCTGCTATCGTGTAACGCATTTTAGAAAACTAAACACTTAGACTGAATAAATGTTACGAAGCTGTGCTCTAGTCGGTAGTAAAATTACCAATAATGTTTGAGGATACGGATAAGCGTACAATGTGATTGAATGTTTGTTTATCTTTTGTGACCCGTGTCACGCAATACACACACGTGATACACAAGTATTCGAAATGTACTCTGACACAATTTATTTTCTATTGCAGTTGACTTTGGGTGACCTTGAATGACCTTAATAATAGGTCATTGTATTCGCCTTGAAACACTCTATCAGAATGTAAGTAATAAAATATACTGTTCCATTTAAAAAAACAAAGTTGACCTTCATATCTCCTTGACGCCTCCACCTACAAAAAAATTGGTAATACCAGATTATGAGCCCCCCGATACCAAATAAGTTTGGTCTAATGCATTTTCTCCTATCTTCAAAAACAAGCGAGTTATTCAGGTGACCTGTTTAAAATGCCTCACCCTGTATTTTCAGAGTCCTCTAATCACAAAACATGTATCTATCCAGACTGGTATTATCTAACATCCACACTAATAACGAACAGAACAGAGTTAACTGACTGTGAAGGTAAAGGGACGATGTATTTGATGTTTGAAAAATAATGTTGACTGAAATTTTGAAAATTTTTCCTATTTAAATGACGAAATCGTTTTCCAGCTTCGTCCAGGAGTTCGCGTCGCCGCCCGCCGATGGGATCATCTTATTATTGGAGACACTTCGGGGTGTTCAGCTGGCTCAAAGTTCACCACCCTCTTCCGGTCACACCGGTCCAAGAGTCGGCACCAGAAGAGCTGCGCTGGACGAGTTGGGTTGCGTCGAGTGTCTGGCTGCATGCGCCGAACGATGCACCGATGCACCGAGGCTCCTGGTGCAAGCTCAACCCGGTCTTCTTGCTCTGGCAGTCTGCCTGACTAGTAGCTTGAACCGGTCCCGAGTTCTAGCTCTCCAGGTAACAATCGTCACTTCCGTTCCGAGCGTCGCGGTACTGTTAATCAAAAAAGATCCACGGCTTGGAATCGCACGCCTCGGATCATGCTCGTCCAATAAGATCCTGTTGCATCTTCCGTTGTCGTCTTATCGTACTTTTATCGCGTACACGTTAATATTAATAGATAACCGTCCTGGATCAACGACTCGTTTCAGTCCTGGGTTCAACTCGGACGATGGAATCGGAAACAACCGCGTTGTGTCTATAAACCTCGATATCTTATCGCGTTTCTATTACGTTCTTATCGCGAATAGAAATATTAATTCAACGCGCGTAAGTCGGAACTTTATCTCGAGAATCGCTGGAAAAGTCGGAAATATTCTCGGAGTGTCCGGCGAATATTTTTTTGCAATTGATTCTTGTACGATTTCTTGCAGCTTCGGGACTTGAAATTGGTAATTTCCGTCTCGTTTCTATCAGTCGTACAAATTAATTCTCGGTCTCTGCATCGAATCATCTATAACATTTATTCTGGTTGAATCTTTCTCCGTTTATTCGCGGTTTCAAGCTTCTTAAAGATTGTTCGATTGTATCTGTTTTTGCATGCAAGGAGTTGGCATGAATAATCATTCTATTTGCACAATTGTGAAACCCATGTGTCGCGCAGTGGTTTACAGAATAATATAGAGCGTGTTTCCGTAAATATTTTCATGGTGCATACAAGGGGAACGATTGAATAATTGCCCGACATGAAATATGATCTTTGATTGATGTACTCATGAATCGATATCGATAATTTTTCTTCTATTATGCAATGTTTGCAAATTTTTATTATCAAGTGAGTCATCGTAATTATGCGAGTCGAAAGGCATCTGATAACCACTGCAATCTTTCAATGTTATTGATATGTGTTTTATATGAAATGCCCCAAATGAGAACCAGAGATTTCTCCTGAGTAATTGTTTTGGAATTTAATTATCTGAACTCTTCCCGATAAGAAACCAGATAGCCGAGAAAGCATGTGGCTGTTTTTGATCAACGCCTTTAATTTGGAAATCAAGATCGAATGATTGATAGAATCAAAGGCTTTTCTGAAATCAGTGTACACTGTGTCGACTTGTAGGTCTTTATCAATACAACCGGATACATAGTGACGATACTCTACAAGGTTAGATCACTGTTGATAGACCGACAAAGAGGCCATGCTGCTCATCGGTGATGATGCATGGAAATATTAGTTTACTATTATTAGAATTATTATCTTTTTATCTAAAATGTTGTCGAAGAATACTGGGTCAATTTTCTTGTATTTCGTGAGTTACTCCCTTCTCGCGTCCCTGATACATCGAGATACGTAATCGTGAAGCCGCGTTTCCAGCAAACCCGGCCCACTAAGAGGGCCTTGGGACCCGTTATTTCGAGACCGTCTGTCGTCGGAACCAGCTTTTATCGTAAATCCGAACGTTATTCGGCTGGCTTCATTTGCAAACTCACGCGCGCTCCCCACACGTCTGCTTTTTATTTCCTGCCCCCCCGAGGAAATGCACCTTGCGAGTATCGCGGCTACGATCAGATGTTGACTAACCGAACTGGATAATTACTTCCACGGCACGTGATCTCAGAAAAGTACAACGTTGGAAGAATATAATGAGTAGAAAGAGATTGTTATCTTCCCGCTGAGCAGGTAACTGTCGACGAGCTTTGGTTGCCAACTAGAATTGTATATACAGTATCGAACAAAATTATAAGGCGCCTCGAATACTTATATATTTTCTATACACGACAAAAAATGTATCTTTAGTCGGATATACGATAAAAAATGTTCAACGTGAGCTGATTTTGGATGAACAAAATCATAAAACAATAACTTTTGTCCTCTACTGTACGTACAAGTTCTATTTTAATCTCTAAACTCTGCGTATTGCTTTGGAAACTTCTGCAATGAAATTTCAATAAAATCCATTCCATTTCAGGGATTCAATAACATTTGTGTTTACATCTTTTTAAGTTGTCGCTTTCGAGGCAGACATTTGTACGCCTGCACGGTGACACTAGTGGCGTAAGTTGAAATATCAAGCGTTATGGAACTGTCGGAGATATTCCTCGAAAAGTAAGATCTAAAAAAAAAAACGGACGCTAGAACCGATAAGAAGACACACCGTTTACCCGAGGCGAATAGATTAAACTACAGTTGGCGTCCATGCGGAAACCAGATCGTGATAAGCAAATAAGCGTTGGAACTGTTTGACGTCATTTGATACGTTCCCAGCCGCGTGTACCACCGGTGGTGCACGTCAAGCTTTCCATACAAGCCCAGTGTACCGCCGGTGGTACACACATGCGCGTTACATAGAGATTTAAAAGTACTTAATATGTTGAAGACGATTTCAAAAAATTGTAACTTGTACGATATATTTTCTTCGAAATCGTTTAAATTTCTATCAACCCAATTAAATATTAATTTTATAATAACGTCTCTCTACGAACCATCGACGATGTGTATACACGATACCTCGCAACATCCTCGGAACTGTTTCTGTTTTGCAGTTACTGACGAAGGTGTGTCAAGCTCCGGGTGGTCACGCGGCCGTCTCGGAGGCAGTGTCCACGTTGAGGCTAAAGTACGGCGAGGGCGGACGTTTCCGGTTCCTGGCTGGGGCGCTTCTGGCTCCCAGAGCAGCGATTGCACTGAGAGTCGCAGGAGTGTCGTTCCTGAACGCCTTCCTGAAATCTGCACCGCGAACGCAAACCAGATTATATATTCAAGTGAGTGTGTTCAAAATACGTGGGTAAAACTTAACGAAACGTTCAGTTTGGTAAATTCCGTGTTTCGTGTGCGAGCAGGCTGAAGCCTGCGAAGCTGGACTAGAGCCGCAGGTCCTTCAAGAATGGCTGAAAGAATTGGACGGTAGGGAGGAGGACGCGTTGAACGATCTTCTGCATAAGGAGGTTCAGAGATGGACCCACAACTGCGTGGACGTGGATGTCCTGCAGCGAAGAGTGGTACGTGCCGAGGAAACATGTAGGATCCTCAGCAAAAAGGTATCGGCACTGCAAACGGAGCTGCAGCAGTTGCAGCTGGAGAAGCTGAACAATTACAACCTGGAGGATCGCGAGAAGGTGGCTGTTCTCGGGGCGAAGCAATCGCCAAAGGTGTCCTCGAACGCAGAGGACGAGGGTATCAGCTCGTCGGAGAGATCGAGCAGCCCCGAGAACACGAAGCACCAAATGCGCGGTAACCATCAGAAGCTGAACATGTCGCCGGACAACGATCAGGAGACCACGATAGACGACGTGATCGAGGAGCTGAGGATCATCGTGAAGGACGCGGAGGAGGAATTCGGGGACAAGAATCGGGAACAGAGTCGAATAGAGCACGTCGAGAGTCAGGATCTATCCTGCAACGATCACGCGTCCAAAGCCAAGCTGTACAACAACTCCTACACGTATCTGTTCGACAAAGTGCTGAAGAGAGATCAGCAAACGAGCAAGAAGGTCACCAAGTCCAACACGGACTCGAACGTGTCTCAGAACGTGATAAAAGGCGAGCAGGTGACTTACTTTGGCAACGATCGAGACTACAGCGTGGACTCGAGGCGAAGAGTTTCGAAATCATCCGTGGAAGGCAGCGTGAAGATAGTCGTGAAAGGACCGGACGTCGAGGACGCCATCGTACCGACTATTCTCTATCCTCAACCGCCCAGAAGATCGCCGCCTTGTCTGTCGGCCATAATGGCGGTGAGACACGGCGACTTCGTCGATCACGAAGAAACGTACAATTCTCACGACGAGGACATAGAGGAGGAGACCTTGGGCGATGGCAGCGACTCGCTTCTCAGCGCTTCGCGGTTGAAGTACAACGGAAAGGGTCAATCTTACGAGGAACAGATCCCAAATACCGAGATCGATCGCTTTCAGAAATCGTCCGCGAAAGAAACGGAGAACGTGGGTAATAATAAATCGAAGAAAGGGCTCGACAACCTTCGACGCTTCAACGACAGCGAGGCCAAGGACAAGAAGTCGGTCAGAAGCTTCGAGAACAGGGCGACGAACGAATCCAAGTCGAATTACAGGGCGACCGACGGATTCGTTCAGAGGCACAGCACGAAACACAGGAGCGAAGTGGAGAAAAGGAAGCTGCTACGCAGATCCGCCAGTCACGATTACCTCGAATCGAGCGCCTCGAGTCCGCGATCGAGACGATCCGGCAGAAGCAGAGTGGAGAGTCACATCAGGAAGTTCGAGAGCTTGAACTCGTTCGACGAGCATCGAAGTCTCCAGAGCTACGGTCGACCGGGCAGCTCGGAGAACCTGAACAAACAGGAACAGCAATTCTTAGGCGACGAAGGCTCCCGGACCAGAATGCGCAGATCCGAGTCCTTCCATCACGTGTCGCACGTCAGCAAAAAGGATCAATGCTCGTCGCGAGGCGGAAGCGACAGTGGATTGTTTTACGTGACCGATTTCAACCTGGATCCGCTCGTAACGCAAAAACCGAGGTCCATCGAAGCCCCGAAATCGCCCAGCCTTCTGACCAAATCTTTGGACAGAATCGACGAGGGCCTGGACTCGATGGTCGATATCGTTATCACGGAAGAGAAGAATCAATGGAACTCGAGCAAGTACCAGTCGAAAACGAAGAAGTCCAGGGAAGAAAGGCAACTGATCAGGTCGAAATCGAGCCGACTCGAGGAGTCAAGGAGTTGCTCCGAGCTGGAAACTAAAGGAAGAAAGGAGGAGTCCAGGAGTAAACACTTGAGGAACGATGAGTTTTATTCTGGGAACAACAACAATAAACAACTGAGAAACGACGAGTTGTACGAGGAGCAGAGAAATCACGAATGGAATTGTCAGAACGAGCTGAACTCTGGTAGAAAGAACAGTGATTTGGACGTTGATTGTACCCCTGTGATACTGACGAAGAACGGAGTGAGGCACAACTCGTTCAGCCAGAACGAGAATATGGGAAGTAAGTTTTCAAATCGGTCCAAGGATTCGGGAATCTTTGCTGGACGAACTTACGACACGTTCGGTTTGGGGAAGAGTCGATTCAATGCCGGCAAATATTCGGGAAATCAACAAATTAAAGAGAATCCGATTGGAAGGAGGAACACGACTTCGTCCGTGATTGGGAATCGCGGAAAGGTCACTGACGTAGTATCGGGACTTTATTAAAACGGATTTTATATACGCACGCGATAAAATATATTTAAATGCGTGAATTTCGTCCGAATCTTCGCGTGTTTCGTACGTTTCTCATATCGCGTTCGGTGTAAACAAACAACAAAACTAACACTGTTAAGTTTGATGCATTTATCGTAATTGAATGAACACGTAACTACAGTGCAATACTTACGAGCATTATCAGTAAAATTGAAAATCTAATTTATGTTGTAATTAATATTGTCGATAATATGCGATAAACGTGTGCCCGTTTTAGTTATGTAGATAGATATTTCGGTGATGGACTGTCACACCTATTCGATGAATTGTGCAATATATTTTTCATTACACGTAATTATATTTCTGTAATTATATCACGTTAAAAAGAAGACTGTAATTTATAAACGTTTATATAAGAATGTACATAATATACTGCTGAAAGAAAGGAAAAATTAGAACGGGAGGCATCGAAATAGTTACAAAATAAGAACAAAAATTGCCAACGTTAAAATATTTCGTACGTGTGACTTTGCTGTTATCGTATTGTACATAAACGTTCTCTTTTAACTTATTCATTTATGCTGGAATGATATTGTAACTACGTTCTAAACATAAATAAAACTGTTAGCTTTGAGATAACAGCTATCTTTTGTTACAACAAAAAATGAGAAGTGATATTCATAAATAATTACACAACTAAATTCACGGTATACCATATTATTTATTTCTAATTGGCACAACAAACATAGAAAACAAGACATATAACAATATTTATATATATGTATATATATATATATATATATATTTACATTTTCAATTGATATAAAAGCTGTCATGTATTACACACTCATAACTGTATTATGTGACTAATGATTTTTCTAGTAACTCATGCTCAATAAATATTGATCCTCAACGTTACAGATATTAAGTTACTTAATACTGAAAAGTACTGAATGAAATTCTATAACAATATATCTACTTAAATAAAATGCAAAAATAAAATCTTCAGTTGATACGAACAACTGCAATAAAATATAGCAAATACTTGAAAAATTCTTGTCAAAGTCTTAACTCGAACTAAGAGTGCAAGAGTTTGAAAAGATCGGAACAGAACCTTTAAATCGTGATGAAATTGTCTCCCATTTTCCTAACTAGCTGTTGCGTGCAACAGTGTGGTTGTAACTTCGCTAAGTTCATGGCACGAACGTCCATTTCGATTTCCATTTCCTAGCATTAAAGGCTCGTGAGATTTGTCACGTGTTATTTCTAAAAGTTGTTGCGACGTTTTGTCTGAAAATGAAGAAATAATTGAAAAAATTAAAGCATGCATAGAATAAAATTTTATTTAGATAATAACCTTGATGCGTCGATAACAAGTACGATAATTCCTCTTGGGTGGAAATGTATTGAAACTCTTCTCCGCATGCACCTTTCAGTACTGCGATAACGTCTGATCGCGGATTATAAAAATAAAGACCTTGTTTTCGATTATTAAATTCGTCTATTAACGTCGCTATTCCCTATAATGCAAAAATATGATATAATTATTGCGTGTATCTCTCGAACATCATCGAAATTGAAATATTTACTTTAGCAGCGGTAAAATCTGCCCCCAATATATATCTACAATCAACTACAACTGGAACTTGACTCGAGCCTTGTTTTATTCCAGCATTGCCAACGGATTTTTTAATAAAATCTACAGCAGGGAAATAAAGACTATTTCCTGGCGTTACTGAAAGATAATCGGCCCCAGAAATAGTCTAAAATATGCAAAAAAAAAGGCACATTTATTCAAAGATATATATTACACACAAACAATTTAATTTACTACTTACCGTACACTTATCAACATGTATTGTTGGACGCGCAGAAGGATATAATAAAAATATAAGATTTGTTCCAACACCTAACAAGATTCCATATTCCACACCGATACCAAGACAGAATAAAAATGTGACGGACATTGGAATCAAATCTTTTTTACTGGTTCTCCATATGAGCTTTACAACTTGATATTCAATCATATATATTACTGCACAGATAATAACTGCTGACAGAGAAGCTACAGAGAGAATACAAACATGTAAATATACATGATTTCAATGCGCTATGTACACATAAGGGAAACAGTAATTATGTTTACCTTTTGGTATAAAGAAAAAATATGGTGTAAGCAGGCTCAATGATAGTAATATTAATATTCCTGTGTACAAACCACCCATTGGTGTTTTTACACCACTTGCATGATTCACAGCAGACCTGCTAAAAGAACCAGTAACTGGCATTGCACTTGCGCAAGACCCAAGAACATTACAAATTCCTAACGTAATTAGTTCTTGAGTGGCATCTACTTTGCCACCGTTTGCAAAAGCTTTTGCAATTGCTACGTTTCCAAGAACCCCAATTATGGGTACTAATGCTATGGACGCACCTAATTCTGAACACATTTCAGTGAAACTTAGAGTTTCGTTCTTAACTTGCGTATAAAATGGAGGTAAACCTATAGGTGGAAGACCGGATCTGACTGGACCGGTAAGAATGAATGGAGAACCAGATTCAACAGAGTTGAACTTATAGGCAATAGCAGAACAAACAATAACAATGATAGCATTTCGTGCTGTTGATATTAACCATATCATTTTCTTTAATATCCTCTGGTATTTGTTTGATTTTTCACCATTGGAGGCAAATTTGATATCTTTCATTTTCTAGACAATTAATACAATACATTCTAATGCTATAATTAACTAAACTGCAACTAAAAAAGAATTATATGTGTATACATTACCCTAAACATTAGTAAAATAGCAATGCAAGAGAAACTCATCCCTGTATCCCATACGCTAATCCTATGAATGTTACCAAACACCTTTGTTAAAGTATCTAAGAATCCTTGAGAAGAGATCTTTAATCCCAAAAGGCCCTTGAGTTGAGAAACTACAATTATGACAGACGTTGCAGAAGTAAAACCGACTGTAACCGGTATTGATATAAAATCTATTAATACTCCTGTGAAATAATTTTACTCAGGTAAATAGCTATTTAAAAATAAATTATTTACCATGAAATTTAAACAAACACGCAATATATTACCTAAACGTAGAGAAGCCATTAACAATTGCAAGCAACCACACAAAAATGTAAGCAATATTGCAAAATCCGCATTTCTACCTTGAACATATTCGTGAGTCATGAGTGCCATAAGTGCAGTTGGTCCAATCGTGATATCTTTACACGATCCAAATATTATATACACCATGGCCCCCATAAACGCGGAATAGAGACCGTACTGTAAAGTGCGTTATATTGTATTTTAGGTATTTAATGTAATTTTCTACTTTTGCAAATCGTACGCAACGATGTAACAAAAAATTTTAAATTAAGAATTTTTTATAGAACATTTTCCACCTGCGGTTCTAATCCAGCCAGTGTCGCATAAGCAAGTCCTTGGGGCATAACAGTAAGTCCGACGGTAATGCCAGCGATAGCATCATTTAAAAATTTGTCGGAATTATATTTTGGCAACCAGTCAACAATCGGTATTCGTTTTCTAACAAATTTATTGAACTGGCTACCTTTCGATCGCCACTTCCTTCGATCTATCATTTCGAAGGCCATTTTATATCAAGTACCTCCAAAAAGAATATAAAATTTAATACTGCGATAATTTTCGTTACAAAACACCCTCAACTTTTTAACGATAGAAGTACATGTAATTTTGAAAAAATTCGCTTTATTGATTAAGAACATTTTCGCCGATTAAAAGCGCAAAAAAATATTTTTACCTGTGAAAGTTCAACTTTCACCGTAGCGCAACGGTTGCCCACGCGTACGTATTTTCAGTTCGTCAGTCCATGAATTGATAAATAAAAGAAGAAACAATAAGTACACCTGTATAAATTTACGGTATTCACGTTTCACGTTACAGTAAAGAACTGAAAGTGACCAAAGCCTTTTAGCCGCTTATATACGCGGACCGAACGCGAAATTTATCTCACGTCGGTGAGGAAAAGTCGCTGCTAGCCTTCATACTTTTTGCCCGGGTCGCGAACAATATAAATTCAATACGAATTTATACAAATAATCTTAACGCCTCGTGGATTCAAAAACGTTTAATAATACAGATTGTGGACGAAAACAGGTTTATCGTTCTTTTCGCGTGAAGAAGAATAATCGTTGAATAAATTATAATTCAAATAGGCGGGACAACGTCCCAAACGCAAAAATTATAATCTCACAAAAACCAATTATTTCGTAACTATCGTTAAAATTGTTTTCTGTCGTTTAAAACCTATTTGGCGCGACAAAAATTATCATTTAAATACAAATTAGTAATACATTAGCCTTCGTATCGCAATTGCATAATATAAACGCACAAGTTCTATAATAATTTCATCGGCGTTTAAGGCTACAGAGAGCGAAGGTGCCTTTTTGTTGTTTTACGAATCATTGGACATTTCGTCTATTAGAGCACGATATTTCTCAATATCCTTCAAACGCCGTTTATGTCGATTAACTTTATTAAAGAACAATAGCTACTTGACCCATCTCATTGATAGCTATCGTGTACGTACGCATTAAAAAAGCATTAAGCTATCAAACGGACAATGATATTTTATACCTATTTATATTGTAATTAATTTCTAGCATTAAACGGTTCTTGCAAAAGAGATAATTATTTGACAGTAAAAATACGATAACAAATGTTCGTTCAAGTGTATACTATTATAGATTACAGGACATACCATCAAAATTATCTTGAAGACTTTCATTCCTACGTGTCAGTTTCTTTGCGGAAATATCGATCACACACGTCGGCTGGCATAACCTGTTACAAACGTTACACTGTACCGTACTTTTAATAATTCGTGTACGCAAAAGTTGCGAACGAAAGTCGACGATACGACGCGTAACTTTATCTTCAACAAGAAGGAAGAACCAATATACGCGCCGTACACGATCTCACCATAAACTGACCTTAGGAACCGGCATTTCGTTTGAGACAATTCGAGGGAAAGTGCAGTTCGCAAGTTTGTCAATAGAGGGACTGCAATTCTGCAGTGCAGTCGGTAATTTAGAACGGACGAACGACGAACCCGGTTCAGGCAGCTTCGTCGAGTAACAACCAATAAGTACGCAGCATTTCAAAATGATCATTAAAGGGTGCGTTGTTTAAATTTCATAAACGTGCCACAGACGTAAAACAGTATATCCTCGGTTGATCGGTGTTTAGTTCATTGTGCTTAAAAATCCTCCAAATAATGTCCAACGTATAAATAAGGTGCGTGAAAATTAATTTTATTTAGTTTAATTTGAAGAATTTTCTTCCGTTTGCATTTGCGCATTCTACTGTCAGTCAGTATTATGGCGACCTTTACGATGGTCGGGCATTGTTTCTAATTTCTGTGTATCGAAAGAGAAAAACTTGTTTCTGCGAAAGATCCCGGTTTAACATTTGCGTCACCATCAGAAATTTAAATGTACGGTAACTAGATAAATTATCGATCTTATATATAACTATATAATCATTGTTGAACTAAATGCTACGCACAATTTTACGTCGCATTCATCCAGTATTACTTACATCGTGAACGTACTTTATTGTAATTGTTTTGAGTCCTTGTGTTAATTAAACACTATGTGTATTAAAGATATGTTAGTTGGCTTAAGTCAATGGTTCTTAACCTGTGGTCCAAAGACTCCAAGAGGATCGTAGATAAATATCTGGTGTGCGAATTTTCACGTAGAAATTTTAAACATTTATTTTCGTTCCATACATTATGTGCAAAAAATATTAACCTGATCTTTTTGATACTTTGGCATTATGATAACTGTTAGTTGGTTAGGTAGTTAGATTAACATAAATCTTTCGACTCAGTGTCCTCAACTTGTCACTATGTCTTGCAAACATAAAATTAAAAGGAATATGCATTTCCTCAAAGTTTGCCATTTACATTGCATAAAAGACAAATAAAGAAATCGAGAAGTATGCTTAGATATACGTAAGAGAATATTAGCTGACATTACCGTAAACTTTGATGATGTTATCAGCAGTTTCTGTAACAGAAGATAGCGATAAAGTATTAATATATATGAAAAGCAATTTTATTTCTAAATTGGATACACTGTTTGTTTCTGGTGATGTAACATGATATTTGCATGTTCAAGCAGAAGAACTTCAGGCAAAAGATGACAAAGAAATTACATATTAATAAAATATGAGTATAAAATTTGATCTTTTTCCATGAATAAGACAAATCTATAGAATAAAATAGTTAGTTCTAAGGTTTTCACCTTATTTGATACGAGCAAGTTGGGATTTTCAATACTAATTGAAAAATATTGATTTAACCAAGATTTAAGAACATTATTCTGAGAAACATTGCACAAAAAGGGTCCATGAATTCTGTTAAAAGAATTAAGTAATTGTTATTTTCATTGCATTTTGTTCATAATTTGTTAACTACTCAAAGAGTTAACGATAATTATTCCCTTTTAAATTTCTAATATTATCTTATCATTTTATGTTTAGGGATGAAGTTGATTGTATTTAATTGTAATCAATGTAATATTTTACCCAACATCCTTATACTCTTTGAACTTTGTTAAGCATGTAACCCTCTAATTTGATTTTTGTTCAGAGTACCATTAAGCAGTTACGTTGTATCAAAAAGTATACTTAGTTTAAGTAACAACATTTGTAATAGGTAAAATGGATTCCACTGATAAAGATTTAAGAAAACCAAACAATATAGAGCAGATGGCCATAATTGGCAAGATGCATAATTTGCAGTGGCTGAAAAGTAATTCTCAGTTATCAGGCCAGTACGTTTGATTCTGTTTTACATGTTTTGGTTTATTTCTCTCTATCTATCCCTATATTATTTGACATTATTATTTTAACATCTATTCCTTTTATTATAAATATTTTAATAAAATTTTATATACGCTTAAGTGACAAATGTACTTCATTATCATTAGTCGTAGATATGTTGTTAAATATTGTTAAAGTGTTATTTCTCATGGAAATGGAAGCATAATTTTAGTAATAAAATCTATTAATTTACAATAGAATCTTTCATAACCAAAGAAAACATAAAATATTAGAAAGAGAACTATCTATAAGTTTGTTTTCTAATATTTTGTATTTGTCTTTGTATTATAGCACCAAAACAATTCCAGTTGGAAAAGAATCAGTAAATAATCCACTTGAAAGTAAAATAAATGAAGGAACAAAAAAAATCATTAAAGTTGTTTCAACAGTCAGTATTACAAACAGTCCAGAGCTACAAAAGAATGATCTTATTACAAACAAAAATTTAGATGATAGTGGTACTAGTATAAATAAAACTACACATCATCCAACATTAACAGTTGGTTTTTCTGAATCTGAAAGACAAGAAAACAGTATGGAGAATACTTGGAATAAAGATGCTAATGTAATTAGTACATTGATTTCAAATTCTCAGTCTGTGGCTATGAAAAAAGTGGATGAACAAGAGAAAACAAGCACAAATTTAGCTGAGAATATTGTTACAGTTCAATTAGAACAATTTAGACTTAACGAAGAAAAAAAAAGTAAACCAAACAAGTCATATAACGAACCTAATAGCGAATGGTAGGTAATTAAATAATTTAAGTTGTAAGAAATATTATGTTGTATTGTGTATCTTGTACATACATTGTTCATATAATTAGGAGTACTGTACCTCATAATATTCCTGACTCTTCGAAGTTGGATAGCGACATAGGTAGTCAAGTTAGTTTGAAACAGTGTCATGACAACAATAACAATAATGCAAAATCCAAAACTCAACCTACATCCGAAGTAAAGAAAAGTATACAAAGGCCGACTACAAAGATTAGCGCTAAAAAATTAAGCGATCAAAAGATTAAAAAACAAATAGGTGAGAATTGAACTTGTTAATGTTAGCAATGTTACTATCTTTAACATTGCTAAACGAAAACTGTATTAAAGAAATATCTTTTTACTTGCAGGAAATTCTTTAAAAGAACCTTGCACCATTTTAAAACAGGGTAGCAAAGATAAAGATGATTTGTTGAATTCGTGTAGTAGTGATAATAAAACTTCAGCCTCTGTAACAAATTCAAAAAAGATAGCTGTAGGAATCGGTTCTAAATTTATTGATAAATGTGGTAAGGTTGACGGATATAATAGGCAATTAAACGGGGGAAAGAGACCACAAACAAAGGAGCAACAATTTTATAAACAACATTTTTCTATGCTTAACGATAGTAATAGCAGAAACAAATCCTTTGTGGAAAGATTAGATGAGAAAAATAAATTTCTTACCACGAACATGACATCGTCTAGAAACGAATCAGATAAAAAAGATAGCGAAATAAATGAGACAAAGAAGTGTCACAGAGTTCAAGTAATACGCTCTCAATCATACAATGTTCAATATAATAGGAATAAGTCGTTAATAAACCTACAACAACGTTATTTAAGAAATTCAACCAAACCGGTAGAAGAGAATTCCGTTAAAAGTATTTCTGGTTCTAACAATAATATTAGTATATCCGATTCAAGTGAAAACGTATCAAAGAAAAAATGTGAAAATCAACAGAATGTTGCAAGTAAACAAGTGAATAATGTACAAACGAATCAAGGCACTTCAGGAAAGAATTCCGACAATTTTAACGTTTCGGAAAGTGGTATAAATGATAAAAGTTTACAAAAATCAACGAGATCTATATCAAGCAAAAGAAGTTATCAGAATTTATCTCATTTAAAGACTACTACCGATAGATATACGAAAGATGACCAAGGGTATACGCAAAAATTCAAGAAAGATTCTAACGTTTATAGACGTTCTTCGGACATCTTGCAACCGTCTTTCAAAGATCTAAATGAAAAGGAAAAAGCAGACGATCATAAAAAGAATGTTACAGATAATAATTCAGGAAAGGAATATAAAATAAATCGTACATCTTCGGTAGACACAAACATGCGTTCTCAACTTGAAGACTCAAAAATAACTATATATCCGAATAAGACAGTTAATGGTGCTAATAATATTAACAAGACTGATACATCGGATTCAAGCACTGTAAATACTGTACAGTCTGTAAAGTCATTGAATTCTTGTTCAAACAGTACCAAAGATTCTACTACTATAAATACATCTACTCATACATCGCAAGAACCACAGGTATTGCAAGCTTCTTGTAATGGAACTGAAGTACAATTCGCGAAGACTGAACAAGATGCTAGTAATAATAATAGCAATAATAAAACAAGTGCTAGTAACTCCGAAACAAAATCGGTGAAATTTTCAGACAACGTTCAAGAAATGAATGTCGCAATTCATCCTACAACATCCTATACCGATCATTCCATTCAGCAAGATGTAATTCCAACAAATTCATTTTACTCCAACTTACAATTTCCGTTTAATGCTCAAGAAATGGAGAATCATCAAAACGTACAAAATAAGAGTTATTTTCATCATAGTAATAATGCTCAATATAGTAATACGTCTGGCAACATTCAGAATTCCGAAAGGGATTTATATCTGGTAGATGCGATCCAACACAAATCAGATCAGACGTCGCACGTCTCTCCTCAAAATATATCGCCACACAACAATTGTAATCCGGCTATTTCAATAGGAAATGGTTCACCCTATCAAAATTTGTCTCCGGTGTACTTAAATCAATACAGTAACATGCAAACGGTACCAAGGAAAACACCCGACAGTACAATCGTCTCTCACAATGCATTAATTCCAAACAGCTTTTACACCGTGGCGAATCAAAACATCATGCAAAACGAACCTTCCAACGTTCTCATGCACAACACCCAGACTTCTTCGCAACCATCGCCTGGTTATCATAATCATCCCGCAACCAATCAACATAATCAGTGGAACGTACCGGTTCTGGACATGTTACTCTTCGGAAACGTGATGAATTCTACGCATCCCCTGAACATGCAAGTTCAGAACTGCAGGCACGTATGCAGCACGGATTTCAATAACATTCCGCAAACGGGTTACCTGCAGCATCCGCTGTTTTACGTACCGCCGGAATGCATGCAGAGCTGGAATCCGCTGATACAGTATCCCGCTCCTCTGTTTCAAAATACACCATATACCAACTGCAACACGTATCCCAACCAAGTATTGCCATCGAACGCTCTGTCAGATTCGATAAATTGTCCCGTTAACGTCCCCGGGAACATGCAAGGTTGCAAGTCGAGCAACGTCAGGATGAAAGAAAACACCATGGACGTTCACACGAAGAACAATCGTTACCGAGGCGCCGCGACGAACGAGTATCAGAATTGTTCCCAAAACGGCCAAGTAATGGTACCAATTTCGTACGCGGTCACAATGGACCCCGTCGCGAGGAATGGCCCCCCTAGCATACACATGCAAGTGAACCAAAAGTATACACCGCACGCCGCGACCGCCGCCAATTACCAAAGAATGCCGGACGCCTGTTCAGCGTTCCAAAACAATCAGGAGTTCGGGAACAGAAAGGATAACGTATCCAAAAACGATCCTGAATGTACACCGCCGATGGTATCGCCGCGGGAATGCATGTACTACGGAGTGAATTATTCGCGGAAGATCGATACCGTTCAGAATCCATCTTTGCGCTCGATCGCGAAGCCCGTGTCTTACATGCACACTGGGAATTCCCAACATTACCACGCACCTCAGTTTCATAAAAATGCGACTTACCATCACGCATCACCGAAGGAGCTCGCGTCCAGGGCAACCGTGAGCCGCGGCGTACGCAGAACGATAGACCAGTAAAGGCAACAATAACAGTAACGAGCAACAATTACATATTTCTCGTGTCCAAGATAAGATTATTGCAATTACACAGCACAAAATCGTTGCACGTTCACTTTACGATATCTCATACGTTTCTATCATCGTTACCTTTATAATGTAGTATATATATACATATATATATATATTTATATGTGTGTACGTATATCCGTAAAAGTCAGTTTTTTAATTGATCTACTTAGGACATATACATTTTCACGTGCTACGCACTAAATGTTTCGCATCGTTAAACATAGATTGTCAAAAGTTGAATGAAGCTTTAAAAGAAGTTTACCGTATAATAACTGCCATTTATCGGAAGTATTACGCGTTAGCGCGTTTCGTTTTCCTCTCGTAACAGTGTGAAAGTAGCGAGTCTATTTTCTAGATTCTCTTCAGATGTTTATAATATCCGCATTCACTAGAAATCTGTGTTACTCGTTATTTGGATTCTATGCGTACTTTTAATAATAATAATAGTAATATAATAATAATAAAAGAGCGCTGCTTCCGAGATAAATTTCGCGCCGTGTAAAAATCGCATTTCTTTTAAGTTCCTACGATTGAAAGTATTACGACAATTTAGGGTTTAGTTCGCGTTTACGGGAATGTTTCTTTTTTCTTTTCTCTCTAAATGAAAATTAAGCGGAAGCTCGCGCAATACTTGTAGCTGTATCGTTATAATTATGATTTGAATACTGACGAGTCATAGAAATTTGAAAATTAATTTTTTATAACGCGATACCGGCACGCAAATTTTCTTTACTTCGATTTCTTTTTTTCTCTTTTTTGTTATCGTTCCTCGACTGATTTGGAGGCCAAACGTTTTATATAACGGTCGTACATTCGAGCGTGATAATTTATTTTTGTTTAAATATTACTTATATTGTTAAGAAATATCATATAGTTTATTTTTCGAGAACTTACAAGTTTTTACAAAATAAAACGTAAACTTGCTGTACTTGGTAGATGTTATATACACTATACAACATATTCTGATATGCATTTATAAACACCAGTATTATTCCTTCGTTCGTAACGAGAATTGCACGCGTCGATAGACTCTTAAATAGGAATAAAGCAAGTAATTTTCTTATGAACTACATCATTGCATGGTCGGTTCGGTATATCTTTAAAAAAAAGTTACAAAATCGTACGAATTATCATACAGTTCATAAATAGATCGTAAATAGGTGTTAATGTTCATTACGATTTTATACGACATCGTTGATAGTCCTATAACTCGATTTTCGATATGTATTGAAGAAAAAAAATGAAATAAGACAAAAAAAAAAAAAATGCAAAGTAACCCGTAGGAATTCTCCTTGATCCTCGATATAATCCGAACGTTCGATTAATTTCCTGATTCTGTTAAATGCAACGATCGTTTCACAGTTTCGTGCACGTGAGCTCGTCCCTTGTTCCGTCGTTAGCTTTCAAACTCGACATGTCTATGACTTCCGTGCTGATGGTTTGAGTTCGTTTGCCCGTGCTAAGTTTTTTCAATGCAGCCACGAGCTCGATGTCGTTATTGACCACTTTGATCGTTTCCTCGCAAAGCGATTGAACGCTTCGCAGGATTTCTTTGGACGGTCGTAGCATGATCAAGCGATGATTCTTTTCCTTAAAGTCTCTCATCACCATGTTCAATCCCTGGAAATACGTCGCAAGTGAAAGAACACGAGCGAAAACGACGAAACGCCGTTCGAATCCTGGATTTTACGTCCTCGAGCGTTGTATCATTTTTCGTGAATTATAAAAACCATTGCGTTTAGGTTGCAAATTGTTCTCTGTCCACGGAAGGGCGTAAAATCCAGATAAAAATTTGATATTATAGGTGTTTGCACGTACTTGCGCCGCAGTAAAATCAATTTTATCGATGTGCTTGCAATCTAAGACGACGACTTTCGAGTTCTTAAAGGTTTTCAGCAGCTTGTGGTCATTGGCCAAGTGCTCTATTAAGTATATCCTCAGGTAATCTACCGCTGGGAATAGCAGCCCAGCGCTGGGACGCACGAGAGTGTAACTTGACGTGGGAGTCTGTGGTAACAACAAATAATAGGATATTTTTAACGATTACAATCTCTAAGCCTTCGTCGGTCATTGTTATGTATTTACATTTCTGTATTCGATATATATTGTCGGCCTGGCGTTGAAATAAATTAATATAGCCAGATCAATGGTCACCCCTATTAAAATCCCCAACTCGACTCCAGCGAACAAGCACGCGAAGAACGTCGTGAACGTTGGAATCAAGTCGCGTTCTGGAACGATATATCGTAAATTAAACAGATTCATTATCGTTTAAATAATTGAGCCGATTACTATGAAAGTCGCCTTGGTCACGAAGCCAAAATAACCGAGATTTTCATTCAGTACCGTGTCGTATCAACTATATTTCATTATTAAGAATTTTTGCCAAGTTTTTTTTTCTCCGAGCGTGAACGAGGAAAGAATTATCGTATTTTTTAACACAGCGAAACGGAAACGTTCGTGTATCTCGATGCGGGAAATATATTACTTAAGCCACTTTCGTAATAACCGGTACAATCAGGAGCCATACCGAACGTTAATTATTTTCATTATGTTCGATCAATTCTACTCACTGCTGCATTTCCAGATCGGTTGTATAATCTTGACCTCGACCATGAATATCACTGCGCTAATTATCACCGAGCTAAGCGTCGCTCTCGGGATGTAGTAAAAATATGGAGTAAGCAAACTTAGAGCGAGAATGACTAGAATACCTACGGCGCGAGATTAACTTTGCGTTGAGTTTCTGTTTTACGTAATTCTGTAATAGTTGGAGTTACGAAAGACGTCGTTTACCTGTGTACACGCCGCCCAGAGGCGTCCTTACTCCGGACGCGTTGTTCACAGCGCTCCTTGAGAAGGAACCGGTGACCGGCATCGAACGAAAAAACGAACCGACCACGTTGCACAAGCCCAGGGTCAACATTTCTTGGGTAGCGTCGAGAAATTGGCCCCGCGCTTAACAAAATCACTAATTAGTTCCCTACGAGAGGCGTACAGTGGCTAACGAAAGTATTCGAACGCTTAGACCTACAACCTTTTGCACATGAAACATCCAAGCTCTATACTTGGGATCGTTCTTCTGCTGGAAGTGGAAATCTTCCAATGATCCTAAATTCCGGTCACTATCCTTGAGATTATTTTTTAGACTGTTCATGTATTTATATTAATACATATCGTTTTAAACACTTTAGTTCAAAGTACACGTTTAATGTTCTAAATGTACATCCAAGCGTTGGAATACTCGACCAGCTCTAACTTACAGAACGCTTTGGCGATAGCGATGTTCCCGATTATCGATATCAAAGGAACGATCACGATGCCGGTGCCCAAGTTCTTGCACATGTCTACGAACGTTTCTGTTCTGTTTCCAGCTATTCTTGAGAACGATGGCGGCCCAACGGACGGTAGTCCGGCGTCGATGTGCCCCGTGAGGATGAACGGCGCTCCACCTTGGTTCTCATAGACGTAAGAAACCACTGCGCACAGAATGACAACGAGAGCATTTCTACCGGTTCCCAGAAACCAGATGGACTTTTTTAAAATTTCGTTCGAGACCTTGAGGTCTTTCAGTTTCTGAAAGAATAAGGAAATACGACAAGGCTGCATGAACGAGACCCACTACATCCACGATTTCTTTTACGCGTTCATAGCGTCTTTTTTTTTTACCGGCAATTAGTTATGTTCGCGTTAAACGTCCACGGTGAATTACCTTCAGGGTCAGGAGAACTAAAATGCAACAGCACGACAAGATCAGATCGGGTATCCTGGTCTGGCTAATGTTGTTCGCCAGCTCCTTCCAAATCTCCACGAAACTTTCCCCGCGTATCTTCAGGCCTAACAGACTTTTTATTTGACTGCAGGCGATGATCACACTGGCCGCTGACGTGAACCCAGATACCACCGGAATGGACACGAACTCTACTAGGAATCCTAACCGGAGTATCCCGAAGATGATCGTTACGCAGCCTGATAGGAAGCACAGGAGCACCGCGTACTCTGGATTGCCTCTAGAAAACAGGATTCGAACGATAAAAGTAAGCGTAACCATACTGTTTTAGGGGTTGAAGACAATTATGTTCTCGAAACAGTGAACATTTCAGCTCTATAATTATTTTTCGGTTTTATTTCAGTTACAGGTTCTATATGTATAACAGGTACATTCGAATAAGAGTTAAGGTTTTTGTTGTTCACCGTCGAACTCTTTACCCTCGAAACTTGGATACAGTTTTCTGGAATTACAAAGATCTAGAATCCGTAAATGACACTGAAGATTCATTATAAATCAGTACACGAGTGGAGTCGAAACAGAAGTCTTCCAGTTGCAGGACTTTGAACTTTGTTGAGAGAGAGAGAGAGAGAGAGAGAGACTAATGAAAGGTTTCGGTGCAAGCTAGCAATTGCTCGGATTGGCGCAGCGCGCTCTCGCGATAATCACGTCAAGGGATAACAGCATCCTTTCAGCCTCAATTAAATTACATTGGCCGTCGTCCCAATTGCTGGTAATCATGGATACGACTGAATTCAGCTGTCGCATTAAGCGATTAAAATCACTCGTTCGCGGGCGCAACTTCGAGGAACGCGCACAGTGTTCCGTAACACCGAAAAGCTGGCCAAAATTCTATTTTTGGGACATGTTTGGGACAAGTTACGCTATTGTCAAGTAATGCTTCAAACTATAAGAAAGCTGATAGTTAAGAAGTAGGGGAAACTTGATTACGAAACTGTTAAACCCTTTGTGACTCTTGAGATCAAATAAGGGATGAATAACGTTATTATTATCCTTATGGCCGTGTGTCATGTATCTGAAAATTTAGGTAAACTCGATCGCTATTATACTCTCTGTATAAGGTATTTTTAGAAAAGTATTTAATTTTAATCTGATCAACTTTTTGACGTTTTAGATCACTGTGCTCACACCCGGTCGTATCCAAATATCAATTTCTCGCTGGTTCAGTCTCTCACCTTGCGTATGTGTATGTCAATAGAGAGATCAACGCGGTCGGTCCAATATTGACTTCTCGGCATGTACCAAAAACAATGTAAACGAAACTGCCCGCGAACGCGCTGTAAAGTCCATACTGAGGCGTCAGTCCGGCCAATCCGGCGTACGCGATCGCCTGTAATTAAAGTAGCCACAATTAGATACAGTATCTCGTGATTAGACCACGTTTCTCGTCGAATCAACATCAGATCGTAACTCGTAAACGAGGGTCTAACTCTTGACTTTTAAATTATACCTTCTCTGGTTTTAAGTTTATACATTAACGCTTAAGAAAGATATATCAGGTGGTAGATGAGGAAGATTAAAAAACAAGGACTGATCATTATGAATGATCCTTGGATGAGAAACTGCTCAGAATCGATCGTTCGAGCATCGTGTCTCCTAATTAGTTTGAGTAATCGAGGCTCTGGGTTAGAATTATTCGATCGAGACAGCTCTATCAAATTGTCAGTGCAACAGCACGCGGTGATAAAATTATGTGCCTTGGAAAGTACCTGCGGTATCAAGGTCAGGCCCACTGTCAGGCCCGCAACTAGGTCACCCAATGCGTCGCGCGTTTTGTAGAGGGGTAGCCATTTTAGAACAGGTACTCTGCTCTTGAGCAGCTTCTTCAAGTTGAATTCGATCATGCTTCGTCCGAAAAAGTGTTTTGTCGACCCCGTATTCCCTTTTCTAGCACATCGCGCCAATCGGAGTCCTGTAACGACAAACGCGAACGTGGCATATACGAGGTCTTTGATAATTAATAAAACAATTCATGATACAAATTGGGTCTAGTAGATTCTATGGCTGAAAATATTCAATTTGAATATCAGTCGAGTACACGTATACTTAATAAGAAAATGTCCGTTTCCTTAGATCGTACATTTGAAGTTACAGAACTCGTAAATATCATTTGTTAGTAAATTACATTTGCGTCTGACCGATATTTAAATTGACTTTTCACCAGAACGACTCACTTGCATGAAATCTACCTGACCCAGATTTGTACCAGGAATTACGAAACACCCGAATACGAATTTGACATTGACATAGGATGCAGTCGGTTCTGGGTCCGAGCATCGGTTTCGTCCATTATGCAACCAGCGTTCCATTAACCGTCGTTTGAATTCACTGTCAGTCGAACAACCCGACAATTAGCGAAACCTCTACGAGGCAATTAGCGGATGTCGCGAACGATCTTTTCACGACGAGGAATCGCTCGTCGGTCGGCTGATGGTCGTCCACGTGAGAACGATTTGGCACACGTGATCGTCCTGTTCGCTATTCGCGGTATCAGTTTCCGCGTTTCGCGTCTCGTTTTCGATGTCATCTGCCCGATGGCTCGATCGTCGAAGTAGTATCGAAAGATCGACGACTGTCGCGCGAACAAACGTAGAATTCGAATCGGAGCGGAAACGTCGTTGTGTCCACTGGTGTCACTTGCTTTCTCTGTTCGAATTTCACTTTTCATCGCGTTCGCGGAGCTTAAAGTTCGACGACGAGGATCCTTGGGAAGGAGAGGCTTACCGATTGATGCGTCGTCTCGTACCTGCTCTATACACTGATTAAATCTACAGCTGTTTCACACGTGCTCGGGCCTCCCTCCACTTCGCGGACTCGCCGATACATTCGTCCAGGTTGCAAACGCATGCGTCGTGTCGGTGCTTCTTCCAAACGGTCACTGGGTTCGGCAAACACACAGATCATCGCCAATTCAACGATCAAATTGCTCGTTCTTTTATGGTTCGAGCACTCGCTGGCTTCCTGCTGGCCGTTTCCTATCCCGGAAGCTATTTCAAAAGGTCGCAAAAGCGTCCGAAACGCGGGCAAAATTAAACGAAATGGCACTTTTCAAAGTAACGAACATTCTTTATACGAGTTCGCTCTATGTTTGTATTGGTAAAACCCAAGTACAAACTTGTTGCATCATAGTTTTGTGTCAACTTTTATCGATTCTGTCTTTAAAGTATACTTTTGCTAAAGTAGTTACACCTCAAATATTTTCCCCATACGTATAGAGTCATTGTTTCCAATAAATAACATTGGAATGTTATTAGCTGCTTTATTCGGATCCTTCTACTTCTCTGTTTGATCTAAATTTGAAAAAAAATAAAAACAAGTTCTTTTATTTTATTTATCGTTACTATTAATATTAACATATTTCATCGTTATTAGTATATATTAAAAAATATCTATATATGTAAATGTGTATTTTACATGTACTTTATACATTAAACAATACCTGCTCTACATAGTTATCGTTTGAGCAAATAAACTATGAATAGCTTTAGTTAATATAGCTTCAGTTTTTCAATATACTGTTTGTTACTCAATTTTATTATGCTGTGCAATAATATCTTAAACTGTTAATAACAAATTTAAAATATTCATTGTTTCATATTGAAAATATTTTTTATCAAATTAATTTGGAAATACCTAATAACGCGAATTAACAGTTTCGTTTAATTGCAATATAATTTTATGCACGATTCTGAATTAGTGAACATTTATTGGTCCTTGAAATAGTTTCGAAAAATTCTGTATAACTGTTACAGAGAACTATATCTCTCATACAGGTTCTACTACCGTTATTATTCAGGCTTCGAAACGGTTTCTAGACATGAAAAACCTTTCACGAAATGCTGTCGAGTACATCGCGGATCTCTATAACGATACTTTGTTATCTGTAAAGACATATCGGCAACTTGTTTCATTACCAAAATTGAACAAGAACAATGCAAGCCCGTGAAACTACATATGCGAGCTACTAGAAAAAGTTATCAACAAAAGGATATAATTTACAACGAGCGTGGTGTGCATGCTACAAATTACAAGGACATTTTGTGTTCTTGGATAACGATGTATCGTGCATTCCAACGTCGTTCGTGCCCGGTAATACGTTCGCTCGAAAAACTCGATAGCTTTTTGTATTTTCTTGACACGCTCGACGTTTTAGGCCAGTTGGAACAAAAGTCGCGATAAAAAATGCATTGGCTCGATATTTCAGAATGTTTTTACCGCTCTCAACGACGTCAAAGTATCAGAATATTTTAAAGCATCGAAATATTTCGAAAATTATTTTCCACCGTAATGTTTTACGGAATTTGAAGGTCGTCGAAGTTGTGCAAAATAAAATACACTTTTATTCGCGTAGTGACGCAGTTGATAGAAGAAAAAATTCTACCAAGAATAAGTAAAATAAGGCAAACTTTCGAATAGAAACCTTGAACTACGAAGACCTTGTTTATATACAGGGTGTTCGGCCACCCGTGGGAAAAAATTTAATGGGGGATTCTAGAGGCCAAAATAAGTAGAAAATCAAGAATATCAATTTGTTGATGGAGGCTTCGTTAAAAAGTTATTAACGTTTAAAGTTCTACCTCTACTGAATTTTTTTCTAGAAAATGCGTAAGATTTCGGAGGTATCTGTATTCACCAAAAATGAGTGTAATTGACCCCTGTAACAGAAAATAATTTTTCCAGAATGATTTGAAATTTTTTAATTTTGTCGAATTTGTCCCCATTCCTGAATTTTTTTCTCGAAAGTGCGTAAGATTTCGAGGGTACGTGTATCCACCAAAAATACTTGTAATTGACCCCTGTAACTAAATATAATTTTTTTAGTATGATTTGAAATTTTTCAATTTCGTCTAAAAATTTCACATCGTCTCGAATTTTTTTCTCGATAGTGGGTAGGATTTCGAGGGTATATCTATTGACCAAAAATGCTTGTAATTGACCCCTGTAACTAAATATAATTTTTCCAGAACGATTTGAAATTTTTTAATTTCGTCGAGAAATTTTACACCTTCTCGAATTTTTTTCTCGAAAATGGGTAGGATTTCGAGGGTATGTCTATTGACCAAAAATGATTATAATTGAGCCCCGAAACCAAAAATAATTTTTTTTTTATGATCCTTATGTTTTTACATTACGTGATATCTTTAATAATAAAAACATACCAATTTTGTAAGTTGAGATTTGTAAAAAAGAAAAGTCTGAACGAGACTAAATAATTGGGTAACCAAATATCGTAATCTCGGGGGGGGGAAAATGAAATGGAAACAACCGCGTCTGCGGCGAGCGTTTCGTCGTAGGGTGATTGGTGATACGAAACAATTATCAACTTAGCATCGATGCGGTGGCATATTTAGATTACCCATGTAAATTAAGTAAAAATAGAAAGTACAAACCTGCGAAGCGCCTCTATTTCGAACACGAAGACGAGAAAAAGAAAAAAAAATGGCCTTCGTTGGCAAAAATACTCGCCACGGACGCGAGTCGACGATTTTAATAAAGAATCCTCGAGTCTTTTTAATAAACGACATTAATCGTGCAGAACGTTTCGCGAAACAATAATCGGGCAAAGGTTTCAAACAAAAATGACGTACGATGCAAATTATTCCGCGACGCGTTTATTTCCAAACGATTACGTTTATTATTATTTACCGACGAATATTGATACAGCTTGAACCGGATCATTTTCACGCGAGTCCCATAAATCTATCGTTTGTCCGACGTTTCGTTGGAAAAATGTCATTGTCGATGAAAAAAGAATGAAAATGCTAAACACGCCGTGGTGTATTGTGTTCAAGGACACAAATGCATTTACAGCAGTGAAACCAGGAATAAATTACACAAATAAATTATTTCCGTATTAACAGGAAAAGAAATAGTTGTTTGTATTATAATAACAAATATTGGAAATCGTTCGTTCTCTTAAAAATTAAATAGCTGATCGATTATGTCTGTAAAGTTCAACAAATTTAATGAGAGAACATTTTTGATTAAAATTTATTGCTTTTTATATTAAATTTAATTTAGTATAATTTCCGTTTCTTGCGATAATTTACGGTACTTTCTGTTAATACGAACGTGGACATCACGGAACCTTCGCACTTGTTACGTTTCTTTTCTCGACTCTCTAATTTTCTGCCAAGTGTCTCGCTCGATTTAGGCTTTTCTACTTACCTGCGTTTGTCCAGCATATCAGACCGCGCGTTATTTACAAATGTAATCATGAATACTAAAAATATCTATGGTCGGACCGTTCGCGATGATCAAAGATTCAACAAACTGATGAGTTCATGGCCCGAAGAATCGCTTCGTTTGCGACTGTCGAGTCCACGAGTAATGCATACATCTATCACTAAAAATTAATACAGGAAAGACAATCGTGTCTAAAGAATTATATAAATATGTCTTATATATTGTAACAGCCTATGAAAGTATTTCAAGTATTACCTGTCCTAGCAGAAAATATTCCAATTTCTACAAGTGTTAAAAGTTTTTGAAAATTGAACTTAAAAATCTTGGGATTAGGGCAGTAGGGTACAAAATTACTGCAATTGTAATACTTAAAAAATCTCCGGATATTATAGTTTGCCTTGGTTCATATCAGAGTTGGATAAAGTTTATTCATGACTAACAAATAAAATTTTCAGATTCATTCTAAAACTAGATTTAGTTTAAAACGTTCGCTTATAGATATTAATTTACGTATGTCTTTAAAAATTAAACATAAATGAATGTTCACGAATGAATCTAAAAGTTTTCAACTCTGGTTCAAATGTAATTTGAATAAATGATTTTAAAATTTGATTTCTTAAACACGCGCTGTTATTGGTGTCGCGTCTCCTTCGTAGATGGCGCTATCGGTATTAAAATTGTGGCGGGACAGTCGTTTGGATCGCTGACAGAACAGCAGGCGACATCTTGCAAACCTCCTCAGAATGTTATTCGTTTCTAACAACAGTCGAACTTGGAAAATATCCAACGATAGTAGAATTCCGCATCAATGGAGGGTGGTTGAGATGAGGATAGGGCGAGTTTTCCATTCTTAGCAAGCTCTATATAATGAGACCTGGGAATCATGGTTATTTATTATACAATTAATTACATAGTAAATAGTATGACATGCATTCACATACGTTCTTCAGAAACTAGTCTATTTCTCTGTAACAATCGACAAAAATATTTCATTGTGTGCCAAGTTCTCACAAAAATTCAGATACACTGTAAATATATGTGAGTTGACTATGGAAGGGATTAAAATTCATTTCTGAATCTGTTGGTAACGTTGTAAATGACACGAAAATGATAATGGGGTTTCGAGACCCCATAAAAATGGGTCGAAAAAAAAAATTAGGTGAAAGATCTACTCGTATACTTCGTCTCTGACAATACTCTAGAATCTTTGATGAATCAAAACTAACCTAGCGAAGAAGCTCTATATTTATGATTAATATATCTTAATATTTTAAAAATCTATTATAAGATAGTCTAAGGGGTTCGAACTATGAGCCCAGTATCTATATTTTTGTTTATCTATGGGCTAAAATTAAGAGTCTAAGATCTTTAATTTTATTGTAATGTTTAGTAATTGCTGCAAATAATAGCAATGATAATATGGATAAATTTGAAGCTGATTAAACGAAGAGAATTTTGAAAAATCTAAAATTGACCTCTGACCGTTTACGCGAGGCGTTTGTCAGAGTTGTTTGGAAGGAACAGGTTTGCAAGCAAATATGCCCTATTTTGGGGAAATCCCCCGTGACAAATCCTCGTAATAAGCAACGAGCCGTTGATAAAAGTAGAAACCCCTGTGACGAAATTGCATAATTTCCGTCAGTGGCGTGACCCTGTTGAGGAAGCCGCGATGCGTAGGGTTCGTCCATTGTTAGAATCACATCAGAATTAGATCAAACGAACACGTGCACGAGGGGATGATCGCGATAGTTTGACTTTCGACACCTTTTACGTCATCGCAGATATATTCTATTTATTTCCGTTTTCCAAAATTGCAATGATAATAGTACCGTGTACTCGTGTAGAATTCTATTGCATAAATCGAGGCTTATCCTTCGCTCAGATGTTTTACGGAATATCGTGGACCAAAATGTTACTTTGGGTTTCATATTGCGTCGAATATCCTTCATTCCGGGGAAGCTTTGAAATTCAGCCATGAAGCATTTCGGCGCCGACGCTTAGAGCATCGATCCAAAGCGTCAGCTTGCAGTTATGGATATAGCGCATATTACCAGACTCGAATTAAAGATCCACCGACACCGTTAGTGGGTACAAACCAGCAAGATGTATATTACATATTACGTGTATTAATACATATTCTACAAAAAAAAAAAACACCAAGTCTCTATCGTGATTGTTAATAAATATTCCCAAACGCGTTATAATAAGTTGTATTACCACTACAAATAGAATAATTTCGTTCGACGATAGCTATGTAATTTTATCCACAAATCTATTTAATTGCGGTACATGATTCCTGATTTGATTAAAAGCTATGACTGGAATAAACAATGGAGAAGTTGTATAGTTTGTATCAAGCGTACGGATTTCTTTTTATTATTTTTTATATTGGTTTAAAGACGAACGCTGAATTTAGCTCTTCTGCTAATCTGCAAAAAAATGGAGGAAAATGTTAAAATCTTGATAAATACAAAAATGACGGTGTTCGAAAGTTAAGTATGTTGCAACACAACTATGGGTATCAAATGTATTTATACCTCTATAATTTCTTTGTTTCTACGAATCAAAGTAAATTGCTTTGCAGCCATCATTGTCGAAGCCTTTTGCTCGAAGAAAATGAAATTTAAAATAGTCGATTTCATCTCAATTCCCGACTGGAATACCTCCGCAAGGAAAATACAAAGCGAAGCTATCCTAAGTATTTAACTGCAACAATAATACAGTGGCAGTAGAGAATGACAGGGGAAAGGGATGATCCCAATATTGGCCGACGGCCGAATATTAATAAGTTTATGCATTCCCCGCCTCTCGAAGCAAACACAATGCGATTCGACACGCAGAGAGAACGCGCGATGTTTATACGCGTTAGGAGGGAGACATTTCGCGTCAAGTGAATCGGCTAATATCTATTTAATTAATTTGGGGTAGCACACCCCACGTTTGACAATATGTTACCCTTCCCGTTCAAGTCTTTTCACCGATCCTGTTATGGAGCAATTTGTCTCGAAATGGGCACAGTACAATTCTGACATACGCGGAATACGAATCTCCGCGATCTTTTTCGTGAAACATTAATTCACTTAAACCTTGACACTTTAATGGCCGCGCGTATCACTGATATCGTACACCAAAGTGAGATACATGAAGATGCTAGGAATATAAATGTAACCTCAACAAACTTAATAAGTTTAATGTATGATAAAATGGTGACTGATACGGTAGATCACGCACACGTGACAGTGGCCAACGTTTGCTAGCTCGCAGAGTCACGTATATGTGACAGCGGCCGTCAAAGTGTTAACGTTCAATTTAGTTCCAAATCCATGATTAACATAGCTATTGAATTTGCAATTGATCATCACGCGATTGAGAATCTTTGATAAATAATACAAATTTCACTTTTATTGTCTCGCAATTTGTCTCATAGTACAGCATCACTGCATTATCTGACGCAAAAATATACAATAAATAAAGCTTACGTAGACTTCTGTAATACTATACTTAATTTTAAAGTACTAGTTTTCACCCTTGTAACATTAATAGGATAAAACCAGGCGGTTACGCTCCATTGAATACACGTGTCGTACACTGTACATCTCTGAGGGACAAAGAGTCTGTTGATCCTTCTTAAAACTATCGTTGTTCGTGCAAGTGAACGTCTGTGTAGATGTTACATCACTGATAAATTGTTTTCCATTCTTACAGAAATTTGCTATCCTAAAACACGAGGACAAAGTAAATGTTACCAGCAGTTTCTTTGGAAGAATTTATAAAAGAGAATTCCAAAATTAATGTAAGTTGATACATTGTACAGGTGTAATGTCATGTTTTTAACGAAAGGAAGCTTTAAAAAATTCGTCTCGCCCCAAATCGCCATATTTAAAATTCCAAAATTAATGTTTGATACATTCTACAGGTATGATCCATAATTCCGGTTATAATATCATGTCTCTAACGAAAGGAAGCATTTAAAAATCGTTCTCGTCCCTAAAATGGAACCTCGAATCGCCATATTTAAAATTGATTGAGAGAGGATCCTAGCAAAATGAGTAAAGAAGATTCTTTGCTCGACGGACACAAAATTGGCCAATTTCTGCCATTGTATTTCGCGTACATTTTTCCATCGTGTTCCAGATCGATTACGTAACAGAGGGGTTAAAAAGAGAGCCGTTGGAGAGATATCGGCCGCAAAAATTTCGAACAAATAGTATGTCTATCTTTGAAATAGCACGGTCGATAGTCCTGATATCGCCGTTCGACCCTCGCGAAACAAGAGGAGCCATGGGGGTTGTTCGCGAAGCTCCGCCCGTTTCGTGGCCTCGTCCAACGAGGGTGGCTCGTGGAAGCTCTTTTCAGGACGTGGTACGCCAATCGGGACGCGGGACCGGAACGCAGGCGTCCAGGAGCGACGAATAAATGTGGTCGCGAGGGGTTGGTTTCGAAAGGGGCAGGTTCAAAGTCACTGGATACCGAGAATCTCTGGACGTGGATCTCCTCGGCGTCCTCAGATCGAAGGCGACATTAGTGTCAGCGAGCAGATTTCGTTTCGTAGATCTGACGCGACGAACAGCCTTCTTTCGTTTTTTTTTTGTTTCTCGTTAACATCAAAGTGTCCTGAGCTCGTTCGCCGCTGGACAGAACGCGGGATATGAGCTACACCGAACCGCTGTGGGAGATCAATGGAAATCAAGCACCAGTGGGTATAAACCATTTAAAGTGAATTATTTGTTTGAATCGCTGTTGCACGGTTGTCGAGACGATTCGGGGATCGTGTATTAAAACGAGATTTTTAAAGCTACTCTGTGTCGAACAAGGGTATACATGAGGTGATAATATAGTGTTTCGTCGATCTTAACATTACATTTGAGTAAATACTTTCTTTACAAATACTTCCACAAGTTTGGGTGCTCACAACTTCTTTGTAAGTTGTTTTTTAATCTCCGCAAAAAAGTATTACTTACGCCCTAAGCCTGATAGTTCAACGGTTATAAAACTTTAAAGTGTTCTGTGCGAGATTTGTAATTCATAAAAGACGCGAAATGCCTTAAATATTTCGAGTATCAAAGACTGATAGATTTGGGAGAGTTAAAAGCTTCGATAGCGGTTACAATTATTGTACATATACATTATCACCAAAGAATATACCGAATAGCGGTAGCAGAGAACAAATTGCTAAAAAATTAAGTTTATAAATGGTTTTTGAAATATTTTTACTTAAATTGGATAAAAAAAAATTTAGCGATGTAATGCAAATGCAATGCAACAAGCACGACGCAAATAAAAATAAACGCTAGTAAATGAAACAGGTGATTACAGCGGATATGTCGCAATACGTCAGCGGCGAACTCGGAAGCTATCCTGTGTGGGACAGTTCAGTTTTGTATCAAGCACCGCCACCCTCGCATTCTCACGTCAACGATCACGGATTATACAGGCAACCCTGTGCACTGCTCCATCAAAGGTAATTGAAAACCACCAACGATACCTTGTATTACACTGTGGGACAAAAAGATAGCACACATCAAAATTTGTCTAACTTCTCTTCATTAAGGGTGGAGTCTCATGTGAGACCTCAAATAAATCAATTCTTTTTTTTATTTCAAATCATTCTGAAAAAATTATTTTTGGTTGTGGGAGTTAATTACAATCATTTTTGGTGAATACACATACCCCTGAAATCCTACCCACTTTCGAGAAAAAAATTCGAGAAGGTGTGAAATTTTTAGACGAAATTGAAAAATTTTGAATCATACTAAAAAAATTATATTTAGTTACAGGGGTCAATTACAAGCATTTTTGGTGAATACACATACCCCGAAATCCTATGCACTTTCGAGAAAAAAATTCCACCAGGTCGACAAATTTCTCGGCGATATTAAATCCCCATAGAAATGGTCCAATTTTCAAACGACCATAACTCCTAGAATAGTGAATATATTTCAATGAAACTTTTTCCTGACGCAGAGCCCATGGGTACCTACAAAAAAGTATTAGACTGCTTTTCTGTAGAGCGTGAAACAAATTTATTAAAAATGAAAAACAAATTTTTAAGAAAAATCGCCAAGAGGATTCCCAAAGGATAGCTAAGTAAATTGCGAAAATGAATCATAACGTTAGATGTAACATTTCCTTAAAAACAATTAAGAAGAATGGTTCAATTTTCTATCATTCACACGAGACTCCTCCCTTAAACGTTATAAGTTTAATTTTATCTAGTTTCGTTTAAAGAAATATACGTTCATTACTGAATCATCAGTCTTTAAGACCAACTTACACGATTCCAATTTTTAGTCACGTTTTAAATATCTTAAAAAGAAACTTGAGAAAATTTGTGGAGTTATTACGCCCTTTCAGTCACCAAACCTCGGTCTAATCGAAATTAAGCTATTTCACTCTTAAATATGAATGTCGAAGTTAATTTTTCCGCCATATTTTGCTGCCAACGTACGATCAATCTTGTAACTGTATATTCTGTATAATATTTCTCTCGATAAATGATACATCGAAGATGAAATATTGACAATTAAGGATAAACACGTTGTGCTCGCGTTTATAATGGTATTTGCTAAGCAATCACTGTTAGAAACTTGGATTTCAGCCGATATACGCCTAACGGTCGATCGCCAAACCTTCCATCGTCCACAACGAAAAAGCCAAGACGCCGCGTAGCGACCGTTTCGCAAAGAAGAGCAGCGAACATTCGCGAGAGGCGTAGGATGTTTAATCTGAACGAAGCTTTCGACAAGCTACGCAGAAAAGTGAGTGTCCACAAAATCTGGAATGATCACTACCGTTTAAAAAGCTTAAAATTACTTATTATTGCTCGTATAATAGTAATTTCCATTTTGTTGTCTTCGTTGACTGTTCGTTGTATCGTCCTTCCACGAGAAGAAGGCACAGCGTGTTTACATCCCCACTCCTGTTGCAGTCGACTGACTCACAGGTATTGGTCGAATTCGGTGACGAAGATCTGTGACAGCCAATCAGCGGACTGCAGCAAGAGTGGGGATGTTAGTACGCTGTGCCTTCTTCTCGTGGAAGGACGTGTACAAAATTACTTCGTGATAAAGTGAAAATTCGGAATAATCTTATGGGTTTTGCGTCTCTAGGTACCAACATTCGCGTACGAAAAACGGCTCTCGAGAATCGAGACTTTACGTTTAGCGATCACCTACATCGCGTTTATGGGAGAGCTGCTTGGGATCGAGCCAAGCAGTCCAAAGCCAGAATACATACCAAGAGAATATTATTTGCCAAATTAAATCAAGAATCCCGAGTAATTTGACTAAACGGCGGGGATTTGAATGCTCCTCGAGACGCTCGAAACGTAAACTACGAACAAATAATTTAAGTTCATCGGTAAGTAAATTTCTCGAAGTAAGCGATTGATAAGAATGAACGCAAAAGTATTATAATATTAAGAATGTATATGTACGATGTAATAAGGATCTAATTTCGCACGTATTCAAGTTAAGCGAAATGAACGCGGTATATAAATGTAACCGCGCGTCAAACATATTGTGTTTAACGTATGCCCGCACGTAGGTTTTGTGACCGAGTGTTAAACGAGCTATAGTTAAGAAATGTCCCGAAAAAAAGAAAACATTAATTAACATTTAATGTTTATGTGATTTTACGAGGTAAGGTAAAAATCCGTGTCTTCCGTAATTTATGAAAAATTTGCGTATTATATATTGTCATTATATTTAAATATAAGACGTACAAACAGTGTCGCCTGTGTGTCTGCATATATTTCTCCAAAAGAACTTTCCAACTTTTACACGTCTGGTGCTCGTTGTGTTATTTTTATGTATTCGATGGCATTACACCGTGAAATATAATGTCATCGAATGATCACCACGATTGCATTCGATAGAGTGAATACGATAAATTCAACTTTCATTGATTGGCACACGAATCAGTACTTTCTTTTATACCGATTTCGTTGCTTCGTTCAAGATTTGAGATTTATCTGTTGTACTTTTATTTAAGTCATAATAAAATTCATACTATCTGAATGCTGTGTTATGTTCCCGCCGTAGCCAACTAACCTTCTATGGCTAAAATTATTACCGTTTAAACTAAACGTATCGCGTTGAATGGATACTTTTTTGGTAACTGTACTTTCAATGTTTCTTTTCCTGTTAAAAATTGTCCCAGAGAATGCGAAATAACTACGCCTCTTTCAACATTTTCACTCTCTGCCAGGAGTGTACAACTTTCTTCTTTGAAATATAATTCTCGACTGGTAACGGTTAAATTGAAAGTGCCTGTTAAGATCTCAGCGCCCCTAGTGGCAAACATCAGTATCACTGATCTGCATATTCTGGAATCTACTGGACGGCGCTGCCGGTTCTAAACAATTCGAAATACCTGCGTAATTGGAATAAATGTTACGTTTACCGTGCAAATCAATTTTTGGCGTACTTATGTTCTTTTGTTTATCTAGAAGCGTTAGTACACAGATTTATAGAAATATGAGTAGTCTTGCGGGACTTCACTCTGTAGTGTACGTTACCGTACCAACGCAAGAAGATGCCAAAACAATAGCGCAGTACGTATTAATTTAACCCGCGAACCAATTTTTTTTCTAAGTACAATCTTTGTACAATTTTACAGCGGCTTGGTGAAAAATAAGTTAGCTGCGTGCGTCAATATCATACCATCGATCACATCAGTGTAAGTATTACACGTACAATAACCAATAAAAGTTTCATACACGAATTACTAATAAAAATTAAACAAATTTCTCGTGTAAGAACACTCTTGTGGAACGCTAAGTAATTTAGTACGTAACATCGGGGGAAAATATACAAACGGAATAAATTGGTGCAATTTAAAAGGAATAATCACTCATTTTCAGATACGAATGGAAGAATAAAATTAACGAAGACAGTGAACTTCTAATGGTACGAGTGTATATGATATAAAAGAAATTATAATAGATATTTCTAATATTTTATTTTTGTTTCAGATGATAAAAACTAGAACAGATACTGTGGATTCTTTGACCAAATACGTAAAGTAAGTAGAAACTCTATAGTTAAGTCCATTAATCAGTTTTCATTATCCCCAATTAATGGGTTATATATTCTACATTCTTTCTGAATAGGGAAAACCATCCATACGAAGTATGTGAAGTAATTTCTTTGCCTGTAAGTATCGCTTGTACTTTAATACATTTAGATTTTAAACAATTAAATATAATATTCTTCATGCAGATTCAAAATGGGAATGAAAAGTATCTTCAGTGGATCGGTGAAATAGTTCCACCCATTGATCAGAGACAAGGAAAAACAGATTAAATTTTCCTTTTCTGTAAATGATTAAAAAAAATCTTAGGTCATAGTAGAACCATTTACTTTTAATGTGCACCAAAATAACGCGTTTGAAAAGTACTTCTAAGGACCACTTATTTTTATAAAAAATTGTGTTACAGCATTTACCAAGAAACAAATTCATTTATTGAAATATAAAATTAAAAGTATTATAATTGATTTAAATTTGAACACATTATTATATATACATAAGTATGAACTAACCAACATGGATTTACTTATGTATTTATAAGACTTATACTATGAGTAAAAATCATATAAATCGAAGAGTCGATACGAAAATAAGAACTATAATTATTGATCATGTGTATATTTTTAATTTCCTAAAAATTCCGATTTCCCTGTAATGAAACTGTTACACTTATATTGGTGTTATTAATATTATCAGTCATTTTATCAACAGAAATATATGATGATAATAAAGTTGTTACTTCAATGGATTACAAAGGCAAATTTGCTACAATGTGAGCGTATCTGCGTCACACTTTTGTGTTTATGTATATATAAATATTATAACAAATTTCTCGTAATTTAGTGCCGTCAATTACAAAAAAACATGATTTAATACGATCAAGGCACAAATTCATTAATTCATTATTTTTAAAAAGAATCATTGTTTTACAAAAAGTTAATGTTATCTACCACCTCCGTAACCTGGATAAAGCAATAACAGTGAAGATGATAAAGACTGATTAACTTCCATTTTATAATTTTTGTCTAACAAATGACGACACGATGGACAGCAATGCACACCAGACGAAAAACTGCGCTTCAAACAACCGATACAAATGTTGTGCGCACACGGAGTTGTAACTGGATTATAAACCACTTCCAAACAGCAAGGACACGTGAATCTGTAACACAAAGGTATTAAAAATCGAAACGTACAACTTATTATATGTACAAAATGCCACAATACCTTTCTGAAACATGTTGCAAAAACCCAGCCTTCCCGTTTGATAAAGCTGTACGACATTCGTCCCATAATTTTGCATTTCCTTCATCCTCATCGATACACTTCTCTATTTTGCTCTCTAATTTATAAATCTCGCGTTTTCGTTTCTTCTTAGGTGGCTCCGACTTTATCGAAGCAACAGAGTTTTCTTCCGTGAGCTCATTTCGTTTTTTATTTGTTTTATTCTTTGCCATCGCCTCTAGATATCCATCCGGGTACATTGGCTTGAAGCCCAATTCGATTATTCGTGCTTTACCCTCTTTGGTCCATGGCGCGGGTGCAGGATCGTCTCTCCTCAATAAGTATCTCCATACACGAAAACCACTTTTCCCTGTGTCTGGATAATATTTTACTACCTTATATATACCATCGTACCTGCAATGAAATTTTATCAAATATCGTTATTTTTTTCAGAATATGCGGATACTTCGATACATCGATATTTCTCGAAGTACCCGAGACATTTGAACATGTCTCATACTGACTGATACGTTCACAATTTAGAAGAGAAAGAAGCAGAGATCCGCAGTAACGTAGTATCTGAATTCTCATATTATCTGACGATATCAATGAAATCATTTCATGGTTATTTAATAGCTCGCAATTACGTATTTATATTTAAAATATTCTTACCCTAGCTCGTGTGAATCAATAATAATCAGATGCCCGCACACCCTCATTATTTATTAAAGTAAAAATAATCATTGATTTACCTATTACCTTCCTCAGGTGCGTATTTACTATGTTTAGCAAGCTTAAAGTTCCTTACTACTCTTACGGGTATACCGCCTCTCCAATCTTCAGCCGTAGCACCATTAGTTGCATTGAGTTTGGCATTGCAGTTTACAGCTAACGCTTTATTCATTCTCGTCAATGTTTGATCACAACTTTGCTCGGCCGTCCTTTTGTTCCCTTCATAAATGCAACGTATCGATTAAAATACAATATATAAATTTATGAATAAGTATCCTACCTGACAAATCCCTTCCACCTGACCCAGTATACATAAATTCATCGCCATTGTCAATATCATCCTCGTAACCACCAGACAACACAATAGAATATGCGCAGTCAGTTTCTCGTCCGTGAATTCCGGCAATGTGCGGTCTATGTACACCAACCTCGGATACCTACAATTTATCTTCCGTTTATATATCTAACAATTGTTAAAACTAACAATTACTCCAATTTCTTAATCACCTGTACTCTGTATATCCAACACATTCCAACTTCTACTCCTGGAATGGGTCCACGATGATTTGGTGGGACAATACTGCACTCTTTTGTCCTTCCCACGCACGCCATTCCTTTACCCCAGTCTCGCTTACTGTTACTATTCTCGGTAGTCTTTTTTTTCGTCTGTTTTAGTTTGTCGCCTGCCTTTAAAAGAATCATCATTTATATAATTCGGAGAATTTCCCGTGAAAGTAAATTTTACTGCATGATGATTAACCTTTACGATCTCGTTTTCGTCATTTTTACATTCCGCGCAATACCAATAATCTTCTTCCGGTATAGATGTTAAGGGGGGATTTAAACATCGTAAGTGATACGCAGAGTTACACTCGTCGCATAATAGAAGATTATGTTCGTCTTCTTTTCCAGCACAGACTCTGCAACCGCATTCCCTACACTTCGCGCGAGGATTATCCGAACACGCATTACAGTTAGCTTGTACGCGTCTTCGTGTACCATTACTAATCATATGCTGTTCATCTTCGGGTGTTCTCTCCCCAAGAAGTTTTGGCTCCTCTATTGCGAAAATCTCGCTTTTAGGATTCACTTTACGATTCTCGAGCAGTTGATCCCTGCGTAAAAATAAAAATAAATACTTTTATTCATTCAATACTATCAATATTTCCATAGCATTTTTTACATTGACTTCAAATCCATTGAGATTAATTTCGTAATTAATTAATAATAAAAATTACCTTCCAATATGCAATGTTCCTACAAGTTCCTGAGCTCTCCTCTTTTTATCTGTTTTGAATATTGTGAAATCATACCAGAGTCCAGTTTCTTTTGGATCATCAACATTATGATTGATCATTACTTTTTGACCTATTTTTAAGCCATCAAACTGTATAAGACGCCTTGCACGTGGTCTTACAGATGATTCAGGTACATTAAAATTTGGAGCACTGTCATCAAACTCCCACCGTACATTATAAATAAGTTTGTCCTCCTTTTTAAATATTTTTAATATTATTGCCTCGAACCATGCTCCATAAGTTTGGTCAAGACAATCTACAGCATCTCCAATCTTATAATACAAACTTTCAGTTTCAACAAGCGTTTCATCTTCATTAGAATTATCTATAACTTCTATTTTGGGATTAGAACTAGTAGTAGTACTATTAGAACTAGTAGTAGTACTATTAGTACTACCGTTAGTACTACTACCATTATTATTATTATTGCTACTACTGCTACTACTGCTACTACTGCTGGAGGTAGCTTCTGTTTCTGTTTCATCAGTTACTCTGGTCATTAACTGAATTACATCATTCAGATTAATATTATAATCATGAAGCTTATAACCATTTTCTAATTGCTTTCCTCGAAAAAACAATCTTTGCAAATTGACTTTCACATTAAATTCTTGCTCAATTTGACGCTGAAATATAACATAAAGTTTACTAAATATAATACACTTACCATCATTCTAGATGCATAATAAAGCAAGTAAATAAATATAATAAATTTTTCTCTCTTATTAACGAAGACTAACATTATCTACAATAAGTATCGAAGATAAGAGTGCAGATTACATATATAGACTAAGATTTCCTTTCTGTATTAAAAAATATCGCTTGTACTTTTTAAACATGCACAATAGGAATACCTTAAAATCTTCCACCTCCGTTAATTTGGAAATAGTCAATAGTGCCTCCTGTTTACCATCCATTGTTCTCACTTTAACGTACATTTTGATGCGTTTTTTTAATCAAATGCTTGCAATTAACTAAAAAATTCGTGTTCGTTTAACGCATCGATTCACAAACGAAATACAGAAATAAAGAGTTTACTTCATTTATTAATATCAATAAAAGAGCAGCTGAATTGCAATAAGTTTCGCCGCCAATAGTCGCTGTCACAACTGACCTCACCACTTGTTGGTGCCTTGCCATCTATAACAATGGAAATTGGCGGGAAGTAATACCGAGGCACATAACGGAAAAAACAAGAATTACCTGACATGCGCGTGTTTCATTCTTCTCATTGGTGAATTATTTTTAGTTAAGAAAACTAACCATTCGCGAAATTCGCTTTCGTAAAAGCTTATTGCACAATTTAAGGCCAACTTATTTATTTCATTAGACTCGTACACATCTTCTCATTTGATTTCTTTTATTAAATAGAAAATTGTCATAGAATTAAAAGGGCTGATACAATTACATTGCCTTAGATTTTTATTAGGATATGTTCAGAATTATATAATCTATTTTAGATTTTCGTTTATTACAAATTCAATTACTACAATTTTTTTAAATTAAAGTATAAATTATACGAAAATGCCACAAATTTTATGTAAACATTCGCGCAATTGTTATAGTACTTGTTTGCATGCATTTAATTGCGCACACGAATAATGAACAATTTGCTACATTTTCTCGTAGTTTTCGTATCAAAATTTTGGATAAATTTCCTCGTAATAGTAAACGAAAGTGTGTGAAATGTATCTTCTTGTCTTACGTAAAATTTCCTTCTTCTACAACGGAGGATAACCTACATTGTACCTGTTAAAATTAATGATTTGTATGGAATTATTTAGAAATTTCCAATTTTCTTAATATACTATAAAAAATCATATAATAAAAATTTCTTTCAAGTTCTAAACTTGTATAACTAAATTTCAGTAATAAAAATCAAATTAATCATGTTATAAGAATTTTCTATAAACCATAATTCAGATAATTATATGTAATAGTACAATTTGTATACTACCATAATTATACCGCTCATTACCGAAGCAAATTTCAAGATAGAAATATCTTTTCCAGATTAAAAAAAAAAAAAGAAAAGAAAATCAAATCGATTTACATACACTTCTAGCAAAGCAGAAAATTACATGTCACATGGTTATACATAACGATACGCAATTTACATATAATTATACTTAAATGCGATTAATACATAACATCACGAGCAGAACTCTAAAGTTAGTAGTTTCTGTATAAAAATATCGGAGAAATGATCGATTGAACTGTAAGATAAAATTACAATTTATACAAATATATACTAATATGTAAATATATATTAAAATGTATTTATACATACATAACTGCATTTATATTTATTGTATCGTTAAACAGAATTTTAAAGAAATTTTTGAAGTCATTATTCTTACAAAAATCGCTTATAGTCGACTTACATAATTATATATTAATGGTATATAATTTACATTAATTAACTCAAATATGACTATGACTACGGTAAAATTAACGTATATAGTATAAAGCGGAACTTTAAAATTGCTACTATTTTTACAAAACTAAAATGCTAATACGAACGGTATAATTACATATTAACAAGTAATTCGCGTAACTTACAATCATAATAATAATACAGTTCGTTTGTAAACGTAAATTCACAGTTTCTGCTCTTTTTAACATATATGGTAATCGCAACTTATATATAATTACATATTAATATATAGTTAATGTGTTTCGTGTATAATTACAATTGTAATGCGGTTAACAGTTCCTTTGTTAAATACAATATGTTCTAGTAGAAAATGTCGCTCCACCTGTGGCACAACCTATGGCTAAGCAGCACAATATGTACCGGTACAAAATTTCCATAAAAAGAATGGAATGATTTGTAATTTTTAAAGAAAACAGTATTGATCAATAAATGTTATGATCGTACCATTCTTTTAATGTCACTTTATGACTAGAGACATTAAAATAAAATTACTATTAACTTGAAGGAAACAAACTATATGTAAACATTACACGTACTTTAGTTACATTAATAAATGATAATAATTACCAGAAAAATTGTTTGTAACAATACTATATTTTTACATGCTTACTGAAAGAACATTTCTTCAGGAAAAGTAATATATTTACTTATCGAAATAATAGGAGCATTTTGATATTCATATCCAATATTTGATATTTAACACGTTTTGTACCTAGTATGGTATTAAATAAGAAAAATATTCTTACATTTTATATTCTATATGTTTACCGTCCTTTTTGATGAATACTGTCGTCCTTTTCACACATTGTGTAAAATATATCCTCGTGAAAATTAAGTTTCAACATAAACTCAAATAGAAGAATTTAACTGGATGAACATATTGACAATATGAGTTTATGATTTATGAAATTTACTGGAGAAAATTGTTTAAAGCACGAACAAAGTACTAAAATATAATAAAAATAATTCCAGTTTATTAATTCTATGTAGGATTTTTAACAAGACCGATTCTATGTACCGGTACATTGGATAGCTGCTAATATAAACCTAAATCGTCAATGTAGAATTCTCCAAGTCAACTTCATTGCTCATCACACTTGGAAGACCTTTGTTAAATCTCCTGATTGTCTTCTCCAGTCTCATTATCTACAAACTCAACGTGTGTAAACGGAAAGTGGCCGACCTTGCCATGTAATTCACCTTCCCACTGGCCATTTATGTTAGTCTTTGTTACTTTTATCACGTCTCCCACTTCAAGTTTCAGGGCAGTTTTGTCATATGCGTTTGGTACCCTTGCTTGTTTTACTTTTGCAAAGGCAGGCAACGTTCGCTGAATGTTTGATCTGCGAGTGGTCCCTTGTCCACTTTCTAGATAAGGCATTTGCGAAGCAGAAACCTGTACAGAGTTGGAATTCAAAGTTGAACTTCCCCCACTTTCTGGGCGTGAATTGTTCTCCATAACCGAATGATTGTCCTCTTCATATTTCTGAACATACGGAACCGGAACTGAACCCGTTTGACCAAGGCTGTTTCTAGCAGTCCACCATTGTTCTTCATCTTTTGATATTATTGTGAGAATTTCACCTGTAACAGATTAAACAATATCATTGTTTAACTAAGTTACTGATCATTACTAAATGAAAAATCAAAAGTACAATATTAGGTTGTACCACACGAAATTATCGATATTTAAATGGTTGAAAATTAATCTCAATTAATAAAGTAAATGTATCAATACTTTCTAAGAGTTCTTAGATGATATCATACCAAAAAAAATCAAGCACATATTATACATCATAATAGAAAAGTCACAATGTTCTCAAACTGCATTAGGGTGCCACACCCAGCAAACTTAATAAATTTTTCTCCAATGAACAATCACCTTTTTTAGCATTTGGAGCTCCTATATTTAATTACTTAAAAATGCCAAATTTTATAGATATTTATACAACATTTAATATCTTATTTAGAGGAAACTACAGATGCTAATAGTGTATATTTTGACAAATGAATTTCATATGGTACAACCACATGTGTAAATTAAATTTTAAGCTTAGATTGAAAATTTATGAATTTATTTCATGCAACTAAACATCAAGCAAAGTAGCTTAGAACATATGCATATATGCTCAAAGAGTCAACACTGGAATAAAGTTTGCTTAAATTAGACATAAAATAAGGTCCACAAACCTTTCCTAAAAGGTAAATCATCAGGATCATTCCCTTCAAAATCATATTTAGCTATTACCCTCTGTGTCTTTTTAGGAGCAGGCCTGATCAATGGCGTTGTGTCCAAGTAATGTAATTTGTAAAAAGCCAAAAGATTGGGAATATCAGGAAACATTTGATCTCCAATCCGATAACGTATTTGATCGCCCTGCTGAATTTTATTTATTATGTAATGGCTAACCTTGCTGTCTTCTCGTACACACAGAACAAAATCTCCAAGTATCGATGTGCTGTCACGTACTAAAAATACACCGCCTTCTTTTTCACCCATTAGTAAATCCGAGGCATCTTGACGTGACATTGCACCGAAGTACCAACTAAAAATATAGTAACAACATATATTTTCATAATCTTCAATAAAATTATTGTTCCTTTTACTACTAACAAAATTAATAAACATATAAAAATTAAGTATTAGGTTGATGTACATGAATTGTTACTTCTTCAAAATTTAAATTACCAAATATATATATATATATATATATATACATACACACTAAAACATTTACTTTGGAAAAACATGCCTTTAAAGATTTAAAGACGATTTCACTTGCATCAGCCTAATAAATTATAGTCGTCGCATTGTAACTTTAAAGGTTAATAATCGATCGTGCGATGTGTATTATTTCAAAGCACACGAGGAATTCAAATTAAAGATCGATATTATACGAATAAAAATGCATCTCTATTTACCTGGACTTATCATATTGATCGAAAGTAGCAGCCATTGTTTTACAAGTAATCGGGAATAAATCCGTCAAAATCAGTAATGTTGAATTATACTTGTTGATCAATATATCGTGAAATCGGGAGCGCCTCTTCTATGTGTGCGAGAGAAGGACCCGGAAAAAGTAAAAAGCGCAACAGGGCCTCGGTGACGCGGCGAATAGCGCTCTTGTATGGGACGGAGGAGGCCCGGGTTCAAATCCCCGAACAAGTCCCCAAGTCCCTCTCTTTTTCCGCGGATCCTGCAATATCAAAGAGCACCGTTCTCGAAGTGGCTTAAACGTCTGCATAGTAAAAATAAACAGCATTCAAAGCTGGTGTAGTTCAATGCAGCGTTTAAAACCGGTCTTCAAATTGAAGGAACGTGCTATCTCCGTAAATAATACGTTCAAAAACCTTTCGCCAATAGTCATTAATCGCCTTTGAAAATAGAGTTTCATCAGAGCCTCCGTACGAAATTTCGTGTCTGTTTGAACGATTGCAGATGTGTTCGAAGCAAGCCCCCTTACTTCCTCTATATTTTTTTTTTTTTTAATAAGTTTCACCTCACGCCGAATATGTTGCACTTTCCCGTTCTTTAGAAGTTACGCAAATATATGATATACCTATTTACGTACAAATAGTCCTCGAAAAACTCTCTGAACTTGCACTATCACGAAAATGGTCGCCAGCATATTCTACTTAAGCCTATGACATAAAAACAGAGGCCAATGGTTTGTTGAAGTTTTGCAAACTAGATATGGAATTAAGAGAGTGGAAACTCTTGCAAGGACCTGGGAAAAAGATATTTTTAGCGCTACCTAACGTCTTAATAGAAGAACTAGAATCTTCCATTAATTCAGTACACATTTTTAAATAATATACTTTATTTCATGTACACGCATGCATTCGTCAGTTTGCCGTACAAAGGGAATATGGCACATCAAATGCATTACCTTCTTCTTTTTAACAAGCTTCTAAATAGTGTCGTATAGATGAAACGTTAGTTATTTAAGCTGTACAATAGGTTATCAATACATATCGCTGATAGAATTTATTCTCGAAATAATGTGAAACGAATTTTATAGGAATTTATTAATTACATCGATAACTTATTAGAAAGTTAAAAATATCGTCGAGTTGTTGACAGATTTAATTTTGTAGGCAGTCGTGCCTAGATTATACGTAATGGAATTTATCGTCAAAACGTTATGATACATATTTAAATACGAATACAAATTTTTTTTTTGCAACACGTCATAATATTCTTTAATGAAAACGTCCTATAATATTTCTAAAATTTATTTACAAGACAATAAAATGGTAAGGCTGAAAAGAAAAATATTATTTCACTTTTCATAAATTTATTGTTTTCTCATTTGCCTGTACTTAACTTCTTCGAGAAACTGATATTCATTTGTATTTTCTTTAAAAGAACCCATTATCCTAGGTATTGTATGGTATGTGTTGTAATTAAAATAAAACTTGACAGCAGTTTTGGTTAACACAATTCTGGGAAAACAACGCCTCGTATTGTGTAACAAATTTATCGAGCCAATTGTGTGATTAATGCCGCGCACATTTCAAAGAATTCCATTGTATGGTGACCTGTTGCTTGAGGCGGTGGAAGCGTAGGGTCTGAAATAATGAATACAGTTGAGAACTTTGCGGGGAAAAAACACATGCCATAAAAACATGTACCTGCTTTCAACTAATTTAAAAAAAAAAATCAAATACCATATATCAATGCAATTCTTTACCTCGTCCTATATCCTCTCCTTCTTCACTGGACAGAGACTTGAAATCCAGCAAATAACTTTTATAATCAACTTGGTAAAGTTGCAATGACATTTTGCTATACTTGTCAGCTAATTTATTTCTTTGGCGTACTCTAACACTGTAAGCATTTATGATTTTCCATTCCTAAGACAATGACAGCGTTTATTAGTAAAACTATAATATTACAGTTAACTCAATAAATTGTTTGTATAAAAATTAACAAAAGGAAATTACTTACAAAATTGAGGGCTTTCATAGCACGATAGACTTCATTCATGATGTCATTAGGTTTAGATTGTGAACGGATTCCTAAATGCCATTTAGCCCGTTTTACGGGAGTACCACGATTACCTTGTGTCTGAGATGATGTGCTCCCTTGAGAACTCTGCCGTTCTCGAAATGCTGAAATTGCATGAAAGGTATATTGAGTTTTTACAATGATATGGTATTAAGAATTCTATAGACTTTACGAAACTCATGACCAAAGTAAATGATCAGCAAAAACGTACGTGCTATTCTCTCTGGATGTGGTCTTAGAGGGCTATTATTAGAATCATTGGGACTAAAAGCAACAGGAGGTGGACTAGATGCCACATAGAAATCTTTTAACTCCGCTTTAGCGGCTTCATCCGCAATTCTTTTATTGTCTATTATCAGATGATAGGCAATTGCCAATTGGTCGTGGGGATCTCCCCCTAGTAATGCAGAATGAACTTCTGCTTCCTTTACATTAAATTTCTCACAAACTTCGTTTATAGCATCTATATCGATTACAGAAGAATCTTGTTCAACGGGCGACGGGAATAAGTATGAAGGTAAATCCTTTTGGAACCATTCATGTTTTCTAAAACAAAGTCAACACTTGTAATTATTTTAAATTAGTTACAGGGCATATAAATTAAATGTTAAAAATTTGGTATACTTGATATCTTCGATGGTGGCCCTTTTCATAGGATCTACTTGCAACATATGACATAAAAGGCTGACAACAGTTTTATTTAGGTATTCTGGAATGGGGAAAATTCCAGCTGAAACAAAAATCCTTTCATATCGAATTTTACATAAAATATTAGAAGTAAGAATTACATAAATATTACTTACATTTGATTTTGCGAAAAAGTGTCGGTACATGTTCATCGTCAAATGGTAAAGTACCACAAAGCAGAGCATACAGTATTATACCACAAGACCAAATATCTACTTCAGGACCAGCATAAAGTTTACCCGAAATTACTTCCGGTGCCGCGTAATTAGGAGAACCACAAGAAGTACGTAAGAACTCTCCATCCATCATCATGTTTGATAAACCTGAAGTTGTATTAAATTCCATATAAATATACAGTACCAATTTACTGTATCTAACATACAAGACATTCATGTATTCTGCATGAAACGTAATTTATTTTTAAAACTGTTCCAGTATAATTTTCGTAAGACGTTAAATACAAACGTATAAATGAACTAAAAAAAAATAAATTTCAGTAAAATTTACGAATGTCTTGCATTTCGATTAAAGCTTTCATTTTATGTGCAATAAAATCCCAACTATATCCAAATACCGAAATCTGCTATTTTTACATGTAGATTATGATCTAACAGAAGATTCTCTGGTTTCAAGTCACGATGAACTATCATGTGCCTGTGGCAATAATCAACACCAGAAATAATCTGTTGGAAAAATCTTCGTGCCTCGTATTCTTTAAGTTTTCCATGCTTCACGATATAATCAAACAGCTCTCCACCAGATACATACTCCATTATCATAAATATGTCTGTGGGTGTACTTATGACTTGATACCTGATTTAAAAAGTATAATTTAGATGGCAATTGTTTAAAATCATGGTATATAGTATCATTTACTTACAACTTAATAATATGAGGGTGTCTAAAAAGTTTAAGATTTTGTATTTCTCTTCGAATTTTTCCAACTACATCCAGACTTTTAATTTTCTGACGATTCAGAATTTTTACAGCAACTTTATGCTTTGTTAGAACATGTTCTCCAACTAGAAAAATAAATAAACATTATTGATCTTTTAATTGGACAATTAAATTTCAAAATACTTATACCTTAAATAATGCAATTAGCCTGATATAAAGACTAACAAAAATTTATGTAAAAAATAATAATAACTCACTTTTCACTTTACCAAATGTTCCCACACCCAAAGTTTGCCCAAGTGTGTAATGACCTATCTTAACAATAGGCTGCGGTTGATTAGATGGAATTCTTTCTGACATTGTTGATATTCCTGTCATTTATAATAAACTAAGAGAATTACTATAATCTATCAATTACAATAAACTATTTCCTAAATCGTGATACAATCATAATATCATAAACGGAAAATAAGAAAGCGAATTTTAAAATAGATAAGCGCTTGAAACAAATGAAACATTAAATGTCAACTATCGACCATTGTTAACACTACTAAATTTATGTAATTATTTACATTATCCAAACGTAACGCATTTGTAAAAAATATAGACCAAGGTCAAACAGGGTGTAAAAATGAATAACTATCGTTAATCATATAATTTGTAGAAAAGTAACATTACTGTGTCAGAAGAGTATCAGAACGAATCCACAAACAAAAAATACATCACGAAACTGAAAATCACTAATGATTTCAATCACCTGACACTATTTACATGTTCTGACACTTACTACTTCAAATATACTGATACCAAATGATCATAACTGATACTATTGCATAGCCATTCACAGTCACTCGCAAGATATTTTGATCATTAATCATGTAGATAAAAGAACAAGAAACTACTGGCAAATTTTATGTTGATATTTCTGATTCGTATAAAAGTATAGGGTACCTCTTGTTTCTGTATGTATCGCTAGAGGGCGATTTCTACTTTATTTAATTTTCCTTCTATTTCAATTTATTATGCTTATATTACTGACTTCGACTAATAAATTGAATAAATATCCAAAAATATTGAACTTTTGGCATTACACCAACTTCGTCGGCGAAATGAGATAACATTAGCGTAAGCGCGCTCCAGTGCGCATGACCAAATTCTCACGAACGTCCATCACTGGTCATTCGTACTGTGCAAATTAACGTGGTAAGACGTGTCGAAACTTGTCTCCGTTTCGGTACAAACGAGATCTCTACCAGTTGATATTTTATCATTATTACTACTCGCGTTTACTTTCTATCGTTACTTTCGCATAATATTAACACATTTTTTATTATAAATTCAATCGACATCGATTGTTTCGTACTTTTTCTCTGACATTCGACCGGTGTTAATTATTAACATGTCTCTCTGAATTTAATTACGATTTCTTGCAATTATAGTTTGCATTTAATCATTACTCAGTTATAATAATCGTTCATGTATTTTAATGCATTTTTATTTCGATTCTGTTACAGTGTCTTATTGGAATTTGAAATCAACGGTTTTCGAATCGAAATACGAGCCTCTTGCCAAGCAGCAGAACTTCCCTCCAATCACGAGCGTCGCTGGGTACAGCGAGGGGTCGTCATTGGTGCTGGAAAAATTGAAGTAGGAGGACGTGTTGAGACATGTCTGGACTTGTCTTCGTTTCGCGAGCAACGAGGTACGTATTTATATCCTGTTGATATTTTATCACCATTACTAGTCGTATTTACTTTCTATCGGTGCTTTCGCCTACTATTAATATATTTTTGATCATAAATTCAATTAATATCGTGACAAATATTGAATCGGTTTCGTACTTTTTCTTCGACATTCGACCGGTATTAATTATTAACATGTCTCTCTGAATTTAATTACGATTTCTTGCAATACAATTTGGATTTAATCGTTACTCAACTATAATAATCGTTCATGTACTTTAACGCATTTTTATTTCGTTTCTGTTTCAGTCTCTTCCAGCGATACGAAGTCAAGGAACGTTATATTGGCGCGTAAACGACGCCATGTTAGGTAAACGACTCGAAGAAATTTCAAACGGAATATTGGTAACCTTTCAATTATTACAACAAGTAACATTTATATTCATATATTTTTGTTTATTTATCGAGTTCTTTTACGTTGCAAGTATGATATAAAATTATATAATCGGTCAGTGTTAAGATGAAACATAAAAATGGTTAACGAATTTTTATATTAAAGTATTTTGAATTTCGTGATACTTTGAAATGGCGTTGGTAGATATTAATCGTGATTCTGGTCGTAATTGCAATTTGCATACATATTTCGATGCAAATTAAGGAAAACGTAGAAATTGTGTAGTTGGAATATGCTGATGAAGCATAAATAGTTAACAAACTTTAATTTTCGCAAATTTCGGAATATTATTCCGAATTTAATATTACTTATTTATTTTTTAATATCATTATTCGGTAAAGCACACGTGTGCTTGTTGTATTTCTTCTCTCCTGTCCCTTTCTTTTCAGGTTTTTTTTTTCTTTTTTGACCGCGCGCAATGCGGCCGATAGCTTCAGTGTTTGCTACGTAGAAAGTTTGTTTTTAAGGGTGCAATGACCCTGAGTAAATTCTTGTTTACATCTTAGGCAAACGCGAAAATAGAGTCAGTGTTTATTACGCAATTATAAATTATTTCACGAGCATCGTGGCTCTCCTTGTTTTATGGATCGCGTAAATAGAATCATTTGTTCGCCGATTTCAATTCTCGGTCGCGATAATCTATGTTAATATCTACTAATAAACTTCATTATCTTTTCTATTTTAAATTTAAACTCCTCGTTATCGGTATTAGACTCAGTGCATCACCGAAGTGGAATATTTGGCGATGCCCACGAGCAAAAAATGTAAGCATCATCGTACTTAAAATTTCCAAAATCAGCAAAAATCTTTTTATTAAAATTCAAATTTCTATAATTTAAAAAATAGGGTGTTATATTTTCTACTTCCTTTTACAGGATCCTGATACAGGATATTTACAGGATATTTCATCGACATAATTATGGACCCACCCCCATGGACTTGGTCGATAACTTCGTTGCCGACTTTGCCGACGACTTCAAGTTGGCAACATTGTCATCCGAGTATTTACATTCTACGATTGAGTGAGTCGTATGGCATTCATGTTCCTCTGGTTCCCAACCATGTTGTAGGATGAACATACTTCGTATTTTTTCTTAATCTTCTCAATGTGATAAATAATTTTTATAAAATATGTAAAATATTTTCATTAACTTTACATGAATTGATATAATGTGAAAACATTATATTAATCATATGCTCGAGTAGTATATGAATGTCGATTAATATAGATACAATATCATTATGCCATTATACAATAATTCGTACACCAATATAATTATTAAGTATCGATCGTTTCTTTAATTAATGATGTATAATCGACCAAGGATAATTGAATATTTCGAATAATAATTTAATAAATTTATTTCAACAACGTACTTCTAATGTACTAATGTATAAAAATATGGGTTGAACTTAACACTTTTTATCTCGAAACTGGAGTAGCTGAGTTTTATTTCTTAATGAGAGAAACGATTTAAATATAGACTTACGTAAACTCGAGGAAGATTAAGAGTTGAGAATCTCGATGACCCCTGAAATTGCTGACAAATTTTTTTAAATTTACGCGGCGCACCGCGTAGGCGCGCAGAGGTACTTTTACTGGAAGAAACAAATTCCGTTTTGATCATTAAGATAATTCAATTTGAATTATTTAATGTAATATAATATTATTTGTTAATAGAATCCACTTAAATTGGAATGAATCATTTTTTAGAGTAGGGCTTAATGAAAGTAAGTAGTGGACAATGTTGTCTCCGTTCATTGTTGAACTTCTTACGACAGAGAATGATGTGCAGGCCAGATAAGGTAATTTTCTTTGATAACGAGATCCCACGGATTTCATGGATGCGTATTGTGCATTTTCTTTCGGGAAAAATTCACATCCTGCCAAGCCTGAGTTTCTTGGTGCATATGGTAAACAAAGCGAACAAGAAATATTCTACATTTAATCGTGAACAAGAACTTTGTATCTTTGTAAATTACTATTATACGGGGAAAGATTTAATTTATCATTATATACTTACAAGCCATTTATATTCATTGTTCGATGAACATTTGTGGGAATAAATAGAATAATGATTGGAAAATTATGTGGGGAATACACTTGATTTTTTAATTATTAACATATCTCTGGAAATCTCAAAATATAGATCGAAACGTTGAATAGATAAAAATGTTCCAAATTTTAAATTCGCTTTAGAAAGTTCAAAAGTAATTAAATTTATTATCATTTAAGTAAAATTAAAAGATAAAGAATGGTAACAAATTGCACTTTCAACAGGGCACTTTCGTTACCATAAACAATTTGCAAATCCGCCATTTTCCGAGACACTTTACCGCAAGATTACAGTCCGCGTTCCCGGTTTCGTGCTAACCCTTTTTTCCTCGTTCCATGTTTAACACATACCTAAGCAATCGTCGCTCTGCCTGACCGAAACATTTTCTAAGAACGTACATAACAGTTAAGTGAAAAGAACCAACCTCTCCCCTGGTAGACGGAGGGCCGAGAAAGCGTTGAAAAAGAACGAAAGTTAATGTTGCTGTGGTCATTACGGTGCCTCGACATTGAAAGTAAATGCACGAAAATTGCATAATTCGGGAGTAAATTAATTCAGAGAATGGACCAAATTTTGTAGAACTTTAAAAATATAGTCCTTGGTAATAAATAGAAAAATATCGCCTGAATTTTGTTTCGTCATACCGAAATAGGGTAAATTTTTAAAAATATTTGGAAAAACCATTTGGATAGTAATAATTAAAATTTTTAGATTAAAACGTTGCCACTTTTATGGCGTTCGAAAGTATATAAAATGTACAAGTTTTGTTTGTAATTCGTCTTATTTCACAAAAAGAAGGCAAGTTTGAAATTGATAATGCTTTTGGTGAAAGTATGCAATCGATTCCACGATAACGTGACGTTAGGATCCTCTGTCGCATTACGCTTACCCTGAATTCAGGGTAAGAAGAGTGCAGCCTTGATACACTTTGCAAAATTACGCTACGATACACTCGGCTTCACAGATGTTCTACTTTTGTTCGCGGCTGTTAAAGTTTAATTTACATATTTAAACGAACCAAACTCTTCTTTCAAGCTAAGCGATCGCGACAGAGGAGGAATTCGAAGAAATTTAGAATTTAGAATATATTTCGCGATATAAAATTTAAAGATATATTCGTCAATTATTTGAAAACAATGATTCAAACGATGATGCATTTCATCCTGATTCACATTCTTTCCTAAAAAATCTTTAAATAATTTGTCCTTTAAAGTAGTATTTTTTTTTTCATTTTGAATTCTACGTAACGCTTTCTAAGACTGATTGGAGGTATTTTTATCGACATTTATTTCCACACGGTCTAATGGTTTTAGAGATTCATAGACATGGGCGTGTGCATCGTGAGAAAGTGCTCTCCGAAGAATGTGAATCACAAGAAAACAGGAGACGATTAGTTTGCACGCAAGCTATCCATTTAAAGTTGCACAACTTAAAAAGGTTGGTCGTTTTCTTGGGGAACAAAGCCGTCATTTTGTAGTCGGGATAAGAGGGCTTATTTACTTGGACACTGTCGAAATTGAGCGCGCATTCTTACATCGAAAATTGCTAGTTTTGTCCGCGGACAAAACTGTTATTCTCCGCAAGAAAAATATCAACTTGAAAATGCAATAATTAGACATTTTATTGTATCAATAGGACTGTTTAACTAGAATTTTTCGAAATAAGTAAAATAATCTTTTTTTAAATTATTTTTCAATAAAAAATAAGCGTTCCTCTACCAAACTTTGGTGTTACAAAATATAGAAATGAAGGTGCTTTAAAGTTTTGTCGAGTATTGTGTGCAGTACGATTCCAAGAAACTGTGAAGAATTTCGTCGGAATCGATCGTCGCGGTTGGTCAAATAATTTCAGATCAATTCCGGGAGAACTGTCGCAATTCAGGAAACGACACCTGCAACACGAACGAAAGATATTTAACGCGGGTGAAACTATTTCCCGCGTTCATTTCGCGACGGGCCATTGTTCTATTTGGTGCGTATCGATTGTGCAAAGACGCGAGTTTCCAGTTCCTTGAAAGCGAAATCTCTTGTTACGGTTAACATCATCTCGTCTCCGCGAATATTTATGTCGAGATTGTTCCCTCCCGCGGTATCGTTGCACGTAAGCGAAGATTAATCACGATTCTTATTCCGCCTAATTGCTTGCAATCTTAAAATACGATAGAGCCGTTAACGACTTAAGAAAGGGAGAAAAGACTCGAATCGTTCGCGAAAAGTAGAATCATACATCGAAAAATAGAAAAATGTAAAGGAATTATCTAACAGAACTCGATAACTGTGTATCACATCTGCTAGTCAAGTACCGCTAGATGCAACACACCAGATCCACTCACTGTAAATTCCAGCAAGTATGATTCTTCTATTTTGCTATTGCAAGCTACGATGGACAGTCGGTCAGTCGCTGAATTTGCCGTTCTCAATACTTGGGCTGATACTTGGTCGATCGAGGCTAGGTTTAGAAACAGGGATTCAGCTAAGACTACAGTGACTCGAGTCTCCCCCCATCGATCAGAAAAATCTATCAAGACTTGCTAGTTAGACTTTCATACTTTGGTTTTCCACATCGTTTTCTGGACTTTGATCAGCCAGATCTTGAAATTAGGTCTCGGACTACTTGTCAAATGTTTCTGCGCCCGAATATAATTTTTTTAATATTTTAATAAAATATTTCGAATTAAATTTAGATTTTAAATAGAAACGATCGTGCTCAAATATTCGATGTTTATTCGTTGTACTCGAATGCTTGTAACATATCTTTTTGCCCTAATTACCGTTTTCAAGAGAGATTTTTAACACGGTCGTTTACGGCCTGTCCTCTGCCCTTTGAGCTTTGTCCGAGAAAGACACGAGCTACTTAAAAACTCAGATCGTATCTGCAGTTTTAGATCAGATTCCATCTCACGCCGACAATAGATATCTAAATTATTTATTACGTTCTTTCTTTTGTAAATGATTATCAGGAAACGTAAAGACTCGTGTGAAAGTAGATGGTTGATTAAGATAAAGTCCTAATCGTGTTTAGGAACTGGCAAAGGCTCCATTCCACGCGTAACTCTGGTATATCCTAAAAATGGACGAATAGAAGTCCCGGGGAGCTTGACCACCGAGATAGGACATTAAACTACAATGGGAAACCGTAGCAACGGGGCTGAGGAGGTAGGATGAGAGGTGAACGCGTCTCGAATCCTCTTTTCTTCACGGAAATGGTCGAAAGTGTAACAGTAGGTTTCTCAGAGTGCAGCTAAGAACTCCGCCGCTCTCTGGATGATTCTGATCAGACGAGGTGCCATTCCTCTAATGTTACGGAGCAGGCTCGATTAGGTAGACGGACGAGGGTCACTTAGGTTCAGCAGAACAGTGAATCTGGGGTCGTGTGCGCACGGTGGTAGGAGGAATAATAGTGGGAACCATTGGACCAGGTGCCTTTGATAAGTTTAGTGCCCGTTTCGCTCTCCTGCCGCGAAGAGACTCCTGCGTCGACTTTGGAAAACAGAGACTGCGTTCCGTCAGGCTGTATAAGTGCGCGAAACTTTGATTCGTTATCGTAATTCGTGAAAAATGCAACTCCCTCGAGCAACCAAAAACATATTATTTTAACGTAATTACTTGAATTTTCATACTTCTTATATCAAATATACGAAGATATCGTTCCGAGACACGGGACTTCGAGCTCGATGAAGCGATCGACGATGATCTACGGTCGATGATCCTCGATGGATCTTTCTATTGCATCGGCCTCGTGCAACGAACGATGATGTCTCGTACGAAAGGCGACGATCCTTCGATACCAGGACTTTTAACTCTGACTATGTCGAACGAGTTCAAAACGATTCGTAGCTGATATGACATGAGAACGTGCTCGATGAATTATAAAAATATCGCACCGATTCTTCATGGCTCTGGAATGCCTCGATCGAAACGTCGATGGAGATCCTTCGTCTTATCGCTCGCGATACTCGTGACATTGTCTTGTTGCGCTGGTCGTGGTATGTAACAATATCAGTCGCGAACAGTACATTTAATTAGCAAAACACTGCGCCATTTGCAATACTATGATTTCAAATTTAGAAGTTAAAAGAAACGACGAATACTTTGGGAATGGGTTCGTTGAACTGTAAGAAAAAAAGGAAACGAAATTGTCATTATAAGCGTGAACAAATTCCAACGTAATGTCTATGTAACGAGATCCATAACTTTGGCAATCAATAAATAGTTCTTTCAATATCATAAGTGTACCGCGTGACACACTGCAAACGGAAGTGTGTCTCACTTTTACGGATCACGGTGCAACTAGCGTGAAACGGAGGGAATGCACGGTTGAAAAAACGGGGAAAAAAATCGTGTTTTCGAGCACACTTAAATTACCAAATCGACCGATTATAAAATCGTTACAGTATTCTCTATAATCGTTTGAAGATCGCCACCATTTTTTTAAAAGTTACTTTATCGATTGAAAAATAATTCGATCGTCAAGAAATTATATCTATTAATAAACATAAACAATACATAATATTACTTTTGCGGTACAGCTAGGAAAGCACCAAGTGTTCAAAGATCGATTAAAAGTAGCAGAGTGTACAAATTAAACAATGACGAATCGCCCTTTAATTACGTAGAACATGAATGGGAAGAAGGAAATCTTCATATAGGACGAAATGGGAAACCATGGGATTCAGTATCTATGCAACAGCAGAAGGAAAATGTATATGTTCATGAATTCCCTTCTGTTAATTTTACCTCCAACGATACAAAGAGTAATCAATTATTGTAAGTTTGATATTTTTTATAAAATTGGAGTTGAATTATTCAGAGACATGAATTCTGAACAAATATTTCAAAACACAGAAAGAAATTAATTTTGCATGTAGCATTGTTTGATTCCAAGAGACATGTTTTGTAAGGAATACGATCTATATTGTTTTAGAATACATAATGAAGAGACTTTATCTCATAAAAGATTTAAAAGGGGTGTGATACATCTTTATAACATGGTAGTTTGTGCTACTGGATGCAATCCTTTGTCCTATAAAGGATATGGATGTTATTGTGGTTTTTTAGGTTCAGGATATGTCATAGATGGGATAGACAGGTAAGTTTTAATTTTAATAGTCTGAATGTTAAAAAAAAAAAAAAACTTTGTTAAACAATTATTGCATTTCTTAAGTCGAAGCCAGTAGAGTGTTAATAAAATAAATGCAATTTTAAAAATGTATTTCAGATCGGATGGCTTTAGAAATATAGATTAATTAATTTAAACTACAAGTTAATACCTTGTTGTAGGTGTTGTAAAATGCATGACTGGTGCTATGATGCTACGGAATGCCCAATGTTTTCAGAGTACTTTGTACCATATTATTGGAGATGTTACCATGGTTATAAGCCCGTATGCGGTTTGTTTCATTATATTTACATTTTGTTATAAATTGTATAATACCATACATATTTATCCCCTTTTGCATTGTAGCTGTGGAGCACGGGAACTGGGGAGGATCTGGATCATGTGCCCAACGGTTATGCGAATGCGATCGTTCGTTCGCTGAATGTTTAAAACGTTTCCCCTGTCCAACGACAAAGGCTGTGTGCACTTCGTCGCCTTGGAGATTGGTACAAAATCTTTTTATGGTTATGTGATTACTGTTATGGTAGAATTACAGAATAATGGAATCGGAAATTGATTAATAAATGAATACCGTTGCGTAAATATGCCAAAGATAACAAGAGTATATATACTTTAATAATCGTAATTAAAGGTACAAAACTTGTTTGTAACATTAAAAATCAGCATAATACCATTCGCGCCTTTCCACATAGTAGAATCATATTTCCATTATACACATTCTATTCTTTTATTTCTACTATTTACAAAGTACTTATACCTCCCGTTAAATGTACAATTCTGTTTTTATATTTTTTCGAAATATCTTGTTCTATCTGTAAGTAAGAGAAAAGGAAAAAATATTTATACATTAAGACATTGTTCCTTTAATATTTTTAATTATATTATAAATACCTCTGCTTGCAATTCCTTTGTCCTTTGGATAACAAGCTGCAGAAGAGGACGAAGAGCATCTGCTTCTTCTGCAGTTTTTTCCCTTTTTTGTCTCACAGTCTTTTGCAAAACTACCATTTTGTCAATTAAGCATAAATTTTCTTTTATCGAGTTAACTATACCGATTACGTGTCTGCAAAGATGAACAGATAGTTAAATTTCGTTTGTGCAATGCGCAGAAATAACGTTTCTTTCATTTAATTACCTCTTCGAATGTTTAATGTGGTGTAATAATTGGACCTTAGTATCCAAAATTTCAGATAAAATAATTTTAACGTTGTTTAACATATCTTGTGTGCTCTCTAACGTAGAATGTTGTAAAACAGAAGATGATAACTGCAGCTGATTGTTGAAGCTTAAAAAATTAACACTATCGTCGCTTTTCAACTCGCGTAAACGAAATGTAAAGAATGCTTCTAACTGAAAGACAATCGTAGCGTTTAAAAGAGAATCTCAGTTATCACTGAAATCAATGTGCATATAATTAGAAACATAATAAAACATATATACCTCGTACAATTGATCGATAAAATCGGTTCTGGTAGATGGATTATCAAGGATTGTGTACGCTTCTGTGTCGTTCGCAATTCCGCCATCGTGACCAGCTGCTTCTACGACTATACCAGATTCTTCCAAAGAAATATTATAATCTATATTTTCAGGTACTACTTCCTCTATATTTTCATCACCCCAATCTATATTTTCGGGTACAACTTCTACATTTCCATCATCCCAATCAATTTCACCTCCGACCTCTAAATGAACGTTATTGTCCAAAGCTATATTATCTCCGTTTAAGTCAGTATCGCCGTAAACAGTTTTCTAAAATTTTACGAAATAAAACGATCGTTAATGGTCAAACTAAGGTTTTCTAACATTACCAGCTTTTTTGTTTTTTTAATTTAAATAACGTAGAAAACGTTGAAACGGGGTAGTACGTACAAGATTATCAACATATTCCTTTCTCCTCTTCTCTATATCAGCGTCGTAAAAACATATATTTAAAGGTGGCTCGTTAATTGATAATGGGGCTACTCCATAAACCCATTCATATGTGGTGGTGTTTCCATTGTCTAATACATTTGTAATATATAATATAATAAGAGACATCATTATTACATACATCAACTATATTTTAACATACCAATTACATATTTTATCATGGGAACACAACCATCACTCCCCATACTCAAAGTGTAATTTAAAAAATCGCGATAAAACTCTACACCTTTTTCTAATAATTTCGTTTTTTTCGCAATCTGTTCATAAATTTCTGGAAGTACTTTTACTCTCTCAGATAGCTCTTGCATAATTTGATTGCCAGAAATACCTAATCGATTACAGAATGTATTGAAGTCTGATCTGGCTGTATTTTCTGATTCTTTATATTCTGCTTCTTTCTTTTCCAAGTCCTGTAAATACATATTATATTTTTACAACAAAATAAGAACAAATAATATTTGCCAAATAGACATACAGTTTGTATTTGCTCCAATTTTTGAATTTGCTTCTTAGTACTTGGAACTTCATAATTAACATTTCTTATAAGTATTTGTGCAACCTCTGCAAGATATAAATTATCCTTCTCATATGCATGTACTATTTCCTGCCAGTCTTTCATCCTCTGTGATCCATACCTCCCAAACATATTTTTTGTATCTGCTTCAGTTTCCTTCAAAATTTCTATTATTTTTAAACAGTGAAAGTAATTTATATCTGCAAGAATGTAGATAAATTTAAACTAAATAATCAGCATTCTAAAATACAAAGCACAGTTTAACTTACAAGCACCGGATAACAGTTTTGCAATTTCATCGTGTGCAGGCATATCTTGTATAGCGTTGTTAATTTTTTCTCTAATAAGTAAGATTTTTGTATGCCAATCCTTATTACAATGCCGTCTGCTAATCAACCATTCTAATAACTTTCCAGTATTTATATCAATTGGAATATTTTGCTCCTAAATAATACATAACATTAGTAGCAACTCGAGTTATACCATTGAGTCTTTGTAAGTTTATATAATGGAATGAATAATTTTAATTTATCTAGAGATTTGAAGTAAAATTTAATAGCCGATAATATACATTCTTTTAATCGCAAAATACTTTCATTAACATTTCTTTGTAATGAAAAATGTTCTAGGCATTCTGTCACACTGATCAAAGTGTTCATGTTCTACCCAATTTAAAAAAAATTGTTATTGTTACAAAACTAGATATTTGATATTTGCCTCCATAATACGAAACGTTCGTAATATTTTATTCTAATTTTTCCTGCGTCTCTTTCCTTGTAGGTTGTAACAGCTGTTACTTTTTATTTATACTTGTCGTTTATTTCGAGTATAGTTCAGTATTTTGAAGTGGTTGCAACGATTAGGCTATCGTACCGGCTGTCTTAGTGACATTGACGTATTTCCGGAAAAATTGCGTTTAAATTTACCTCCATTGAATGTCGAATGAATGCACATACGTGCCACGTATTTCAACATTAAGAAATAATAGGTGCCCAATAATCCAAGATTAGAAAGAGAATTTTCATTAGTCATATTTTTGAAGCTTTCCAAGTTATTTGGTATAATTTTTAATTTTCACAGCTCATACTTTTATCTTTCTGTTTTGTTTTTATTAGTTTTAAATATTCACAGGTCATTAAACTTTTATCGTTTGTTGTATATAAATTTAAAAAATATCTTCAAGAACATTTTAAGAAAATTTTTTAAATACGTTTGTTAATTTATTAATAAAGGATAGGAAATTAGGAAGGGAAGAAAGTAAAAAGGAAGAAGTACACAGTAAATACAACGAGTAATACGCACAAATATTTTAGTTTATTGTTATACATTCATGGTAACAAAAGCGTATTTTCTAGGACAATGTTTGTTATATTGTCAGTTCCAAAGTATAATTAAAACTTAAGATTTTACCATGAGAAGAGATACAACAGTTCAATTGTTCTCATTTTCTCTATTACAGCTCGTATTGAAATCTTCTATCTTTCACATAACTTAATATTCAAATGATACACACATGAACGCGCATACACAACATTCTCATACACGCGGAAACTGTAAGTTTCTCTTACTAGAATATTCTGTTTGTTTACAGAGTTGTACTGCAACGTCCAGAATAAAATACGGACGTAAGAAACAACTGGCCAATATTAACATGGCACTATGATTGTTAGAAGTTTTCGATCATTACGTACAACGTTGTTTCGTGTCGTCCGGATGGATAAGTTATTTTATTGCGAACGAAAAAAACATTGTCATTCGCGGATAAACTAATGAATGTACTAAGCCTTTCTCTCTGTGAAGAAAGCCTTTAGAATCATCACCTGCCCCACCGATATGATCAAAATTGTTACTGTTTCCATAGCAGACCATATGAGTACGTGACCATTCAAATCCTCTGCACGTTTACGACCCTGTGCTTCTCTTAATCGATGATGTGTTTGAATATCTAAAATCTTTTTCAAATTCTCGTGCACCTCATGCGCAGAAGACTCCATCTGGAAAAAAATATTCACATTTAAATGTATTTGTCTTAATAATGTTTAGTCATATATAAAAAAAATGTTACCTGAGTCATAACAGTCACATGTTCTGCAAGACCAGCAAGCGGTAGTTGGTCATTTACTTGAAAATCCATGTAGACAAGCTTGTGTGAAAATGTAGAGAACTCATTGCTGAAACAAGCTTGATATGCTCCGGTCATTGGGGCTGTAAATTGCCGCGAATCAAACTGTGTTTTTATTTGCGAATAGATGATCTCTTTATTTGGAGCTTCCAAAGTTACATCTACATCGTATTGTCCACCAGTCACGACCTGAAAGGCATTCATTTACCTTAAAACATATTTATATTGGCAATTTATGAAAGAAACACGCACAATTTTTAGCGATTATTCAATTTGAAACATATTGGATTCATTGCGACAAGTTACCAACAAGTGTGAACGTGGCTACTTATATTACGTCGTGGCAAACAGAATTACAAATATCATTTTTTAACCACATACTGTACGTAAAAAAAAAAGTTCATTGAATGACACAGGAGTCGCGTACCTGAAATTCGAGCTTAACCGTTGCATTTTTCTCAATTTCCTGAAAAAAACATTGTTTCGCATTGTCGGGTAGTTCAAAGGTTAGCTCGACGCCACCAGTTTGTAATATTGTACCAAACAGCGAGACGAATAACAGGCAGATCGACCAGTAGTCCATTCTTTGTTAGTTCTTTGTTTAGTACACTACTTTCGACACATTTAAACCAGAATGAATTTACGAATAATGTCTAATTAATCAATCGACGTCCCGGTCAAAATTTCATCTAAACAAGCTATTTTAACGTGGCCGGAAATTACTTGCGTGAATACGACCGAAGCGCCGGAACTGACTACAATCCCGTCCAATTTGTAAACGTCTACGTCGTTCTAGCCAAATAATATATAAAAAAATCTGGTAAATAATTCAACAAATATTTTGTTTAAATAACTTATATGAACAGAAGAAGAGATGATCTATGTCTTTAGATGATCATACAGTCTTTATTAAAGTAATGCATAAAAATAAATATAAAGCAGAGTTGCATGGATCTTGTTGAGATTTATTTAATATTATTTCATAATAAATTAACTTTTGTTATTGAATAGTATTACGAAATCCTTATTACTTGATTTTTATGTAAAGCTATTTTATCGTGAATGAACAATTTAATAAAATTTGCTATCATCTGATACTTTTAAAATTATACAAAACATATAAATATGTTAATAGTTTTTTTACGTGCGTGTAAAGGATTATGTAGGATTGACATATCGAGGTATTAATGGTACAAGGATCAATAAATTTTATGCAATTCCGGTATTGATGTAAGCTGATTGATAAATTCAGAAGTTTTGTCACGTTTTTATTTCGTATTATTAAGTACATGTGCTCTACGTGTTTCCTCTACGTGTACCGCATGATCCAGGAAACCGGAAGTGTATTTTGTGAGTATCGGATTTTAATACTCGAGGACCGACAAAATAATTAACGAAGTCGGTGATTTACAATTTTGTTGACTTTCGATTAATAATATTTGAATACGTGATCGGAACAATGTGAGAGTTAATTCATTTAAGAGTGGAATCTAAAGAGATGGGCAAAATTTTATTAAAACAATGGATAAAGAATAAAACCAATGCGTGACAGTTTTTATTCGCGATAAATAATTATTTACCGACTACGTACGCATACTTATTACTTGACAACTGACGTAATTATTTCGTTTTAAACAGTTTTGATCAATCTTGTGAATGATACGCAGTTTTCGTGTAGACATACTTCCTGTTCGTAGGTTTTAATACTGCAAGGAGCAAGTATGTATGCATAAGAGTGTTTGCTGCGTGAGGCGCCCTAAGGTCCCGCCTACTATTCTAATAGAGTCTCCTTGTCTGTCATGTTACTTATTCATGGAAGTGTGTTGCAGAACAAGTCGCGTGTATCGAAGGGCAAAGAGGGCGCCCAAACGAGAGGGAAAGCAATATGAAGGTTCTTTTCATTGGAAAAGAAAGCCAGGCACGACATACCAGGCAAAATTTTACCCTACCTCAAGAATCAGCAAGTACGAATACCCGACCCAGACCATTATAATTAACAAAATGTGCTGGTTCGTCAAATTAAAACGATCAGGAAAAGAGGTTATAAATACGTTTTCCTACCATACTTCAGTTCTTTTGTTACTTTTCACAGACCCAAGATGTGATTTTAGAGAAGCGAAGGAAAATGAAATTGCGATTACGTAGATCAAATTATATAGATAGCCGATGCAGGTGAAATATTTTCCATGTACACTCGAGTAACGCAATACGGTGTACTTTACGGTGTATATGTCTTATCGTATAATCGGGACTCCTTGCTGGCTCGGAAATAACCTCCGTGAATTTTTTGATAATATGCATAGCGTGCTTGAACGATCTTTAGCTATATCTTCATGGCACTTTAAATTTAAAATGTTTCTATGCCGAGGATGAAATCGATATAGAGAGATTCGATCGAAGCGATTGTGCACCATTTTTGTTTTATCACGCAAAATTCTTGCAGTTTATAGTGTTTCACTTTGTTACGTAGTAATGGGTAGATTGTTATTCGATTGATATATTTTGCACAACATTTATTTACAGTACTCCATAAAAAGGTCTTAGAGCATCTGTTCTGTTCGTACGTATACACGGTTCGCGAATATGTATATGTATATATGTATAATGGCTATGTTCCGTTTGACACTGCTGTACTTGTATACACTATCGGTCAAAAGTTGTAGTCGTATCTAAAATCAGTATTATCGACAAGGAAACGTTTAGAAGTAATTCCTATGTTTATAAAGGCCACAACAGATGATAATCTGTTAGTCGGTTTGCAAGAGTTCTATTTATTTTTAATGAAATGGCTATACGGTGCGCGTACTCGTTAACAATGTTTGATTCGCATCTAGGTGCACGTGTAAATTTAAAAACGTGCACGGAAGAGTAGTATCGATCCTACCCCGGGTGGCGTGAAATTTAAGAACGTCTTTCTCACTGACGCGTGCACCAAACTTTTGAACGTTGGTGTATGTACACGTGTATCCGTGTGTACACGCAGAGTCAGGTTCGAAATACGAACAACACGAGGGGTTTCTCCACCACGATTAACTCCATCAGAGTGGGGGAGAAGCACACGACCGCATCAAGCTGGGCACCATGAGTTTTCGAACGACAACGGCAGGAGGCAGATCTCTTTCTGTACACCTCTCTCGGTCTATTGCCAGCGTTATTTTTACTCACGAATTTCCCTTTCGCGTGGTCGGAAGAAATTCACGCGTAGAATTGTGTTTCCGTCGAGTGGGCTCCGTAAAGTCGTGACGCGTGTGAAAGGAGAAAATGCTTTCTTGCTGTTCAAGACCAAAGATGATCCAGTGTAACGTAGGTCGGTGACTCGAAAAATCCTCGTGGTGGATATCCGTAAGGTGAGCACAATTGTAACCGTGCACTCTTCATTCAAATATTTGTATAACGCTGTATGTGATCTCGTATATACAGAATCGTTTAGAGACTAACGTAAGAGAACAAGAATACGAGAGGAAGATGGATAGATCGAGAAGAAAAGAATATAACAGTAAAAGGGCGAGAGTATAACAGCGTTTCAAATATTTTGTGACAGATAGATTGCGTTACTGTCGTTGCACGCACGAGCGGCCCATTTGTTGGTCAAAATTAAGTTAGTAAAGGAACAATTTGCAGCTTTAACGGTGTTAACTTACAAGGAACTTTTTACTCGAACGCTACATAATTATTGAATAGTTTCTTGCATACATTTCTTGAAGTATTCTCACCGTAAAAACATAATTAATAGACCTTAATTACATATATGATTTACTTGAAAGGATCTAATTAGTATTCCGACTCGCGTGGCAGTGTCGAGTGTTTTATTTTTAATGGGTCGTAGTAATAAATAGTCACTGTTAATTAAATTTAATTTCAAAGGTTAAAGTTCGTTCCTAGCGAGTTAACGACCTTTTGACCTTTGAAACTTGTACATTGTCTTACACGTAATTGAGTTCGTAGCGGGCAAAAGCGTGTTGCTTGTCGAATTATTGTTTTGAAATATACACTGCAGAGTAATGAACGGATTTACACCAGAACTTTAACAGAAAGTTTCGTGAAACGTGCTTCTCTGTCTGCTCGATTTGTAACATTTCTAAACTTTTTATCTTGTAAAATCCGCCTGGTCTGTAGGTGTAAAATAAATCTTGCTTTTCGATCTGTAAAGAAGGAGGGGACGTTGCATTTTTTTTTTATTAAGCTTACGCGCTAAATAATTGAAACGATTGCACTTGATTAAAATAACCAATTGATTTACCGCAGTTGGCGAATATTTATGTTTCAATCGTGCTGCGCGCCCTCTTCGGTTTCTTTACTAATTTCCACGATTAACGAACGAAACCAGCGACGGGATTATATACGAGGGAGCGGGTGCTGTAACGAAAGTCAAAAATAGTCGAATATAGCAAATAAACGAAGCAAGGTTGACGGACGCGTTGCTGAATATATCCAACTATATTAATAATATTCTTGTCATGCTACCGGTGTAGTTGAAATAACAGCGACGCGACATTCTTACAAATAATTCTTAACAATTCATTTCGCATGTAAACTGAAACTAACGTTAGCTCGTATAGTTTCTGAAAACATTCATCAGATCGTTTCGACGTTTCGAGTTTGGGAAAATACAGTTTTCGAAATTGCACGAAATTCATAGAAATAGAAATGTCGCGCCCGCAGGAAAATAAATTCTACATAAGTCATAAAGGGTGTACCGTGTCCGTGCAGATATATTCTTGGAATACGATTTTGGCATAAGACGACCATAAAACGCGCGCAGTCAACTGTCTAGACTTGGTTGCACGTGAATAGTGCATACGTACTTCGATCGATCTTACTGTCCGTCCGATAAACTCTAGTTTTCACCGCGGCGACATTCACGAATGGACGGGTCAACGGCCTGACGCATAATTGAGAATCTCTCGGTTAATAATTAGCCGGCAATCTGCCAATGTGGATTGGAAGAAACGTGCCATTTGTAACGCTTCGCTGCCAGCTTTTATTCTAGCCAGACTAATTTAGTGCAAAACACGGCACACGGCGCTCTGTACGCTACCACGTACACACGAGATTTTTTTCTGCGTTTTCTAATTATCATTTGCTCGTGTGAAGTATCATTGTTACCTCGTTACTATTACTACTATTAATATTAGCATTGTTACTTTTACCGTGACTGCTAACAATATTACCATTAACAGCTTCGATATAGTATTACCATAGCTGTTCTTGTTGTAATGACTATTACTATTGATATTACTACATACCTTTTTATTATTATTGTTATCGCTGTTCCAATGTTTTTACATTACTGCTTTTAGTGCAGCGATACTGTTATTTATTTTTATTGCAATTGCTGGACCCATTATTATTTATATTATTAAAGATAATAATGATAAGTCATTGTAACTTTGATTGCTATCATTATCGCCATTACTATCTTTAGCGAATCATAAAATTTTCTGATTGGAATATTTCAAATTGCTAGTTGTAGACTCGTATGCGATTGGTGCTTTTGTACTTATGGGCGTGACGTGTTTAGCGATGTGTTTCATTGGATGGGTTTGGGGGATAGTGGGTGAGGTTTCCGACTTTCCCTTCCCATGAGCTTAACATCTTGCCTACTTTTACTTATCGTAGAACTAGCCAAGTTACGCGACGTTATTTACCATAATAACCATTGTTGATGCAACGATTAATTCATCTAACGTCCCGACGTACGATGTTTTTAGTTTTATTTTTTGGGTCACGAA